TGTTGTTTGTTAGTGTCCTAGGAGAGTGGCAGGCAACCTTTTTTTTTCAACTGAGCCAAATCTCACCAAAACCACGATTGAAATTTATTTTGAGAGCCACATTTTTAAAACTGAAAATTCATCCCCCATATAGTAATTCATCCCCCATATAGTAATTCATCCCCCATATAGTATTTCATCCCCCATATAGTAATTCATCCCCCATATAGTAATTCATCCCCCATATAGTAATTCATTCATCCCCCATAGTAATTCATCCCCATATAGTAATTCATCCCCCATATAGTAATTCATCCCCCATATAGTAATTCATCCCCCCTATAGTAATTCATCCCCCTTAATATAGTAATTCATCCCCCCTATATAGTAATTCATTCCCCATATTAATGTCAATCCCCCATATAGTTTGCTCCCCCGGTAATTCTCTCCCCCATGTTCCCCCCCTATAGTAAATTCATCCTCTCTATAGTAATTCACCCCCCATGTGTAAGGAGATAGTAATTCGTCCCGCTATAGTAATTCATCCCCCATATAGTAATTCATCCTGACAGCCCAATGTTTGCATCCCCCATATAATTCATCCCCCTATAGTAATTCATCCCACCTATAGTAATTCATCCCCGCTATAGTAATTCATCCCCTATAGTAATTCATCCCCCATATAGTAATTCATCCCCCATATAGTAATTCATCCCCTATAGTAATTCATCCCACTTTAGTAATTCATCCCCATATAGTAATTCATCCCCCATATAGTAATTCATCCTGAGTAATTCATCCCATATTGTGTCCAATTCATCCCCATAGTAATTCATCCCCAAGCGGGCCCATTAGTTAATTCAAGTAATTCATACATCCCCCCTATAGTTTTAAAAACTCTGATCCCCCATATTGTGTCCAATTCACTTACCTTTGCTCTGCGCGTTCTCTCGCCGTGAGCGCCGTTCCGAGGGACTGTGAGAGGAGAGGAGTTCGTCACGCTGCCACCGCCTACATCCTGAGTGTTTAAAAGGTCCGCCGCCGCATGTGGCTCGCCTGAGAAGACAGAGGGGAGCCGACCACACAGAAGAGCCGCATAGAGAGCCGCATGAGCCACGGTCTTTAGGAGGATGACTGTGAAAGACGAACCAGTTGCAGCTTTCTTTTTTACTCTTCAACATTTTTTTTTTTCTCAAGTCGAGACTCTTCTGTACATTACAGCAAGATGAGGCTTAGCCCCCCCCCCACTCCCTCCTCACTGGCTATGATTGACAGCAGCAGGAGCCAATGGCTCTCGCTGCTGTCTCTGAGCCAATGAGGAGAGAGATGAAAGCGTGTCTCGGCTCTTGTGCACATTACTGGATTGAGTTGGGGCTCATGGAAGGAGTTATTGGAGGGGGGGGGGGGGGGGTCTGCTTGCAGAAGATTTTTTACCTTAATGCACTTTACTTTTAGGTTGGTTCCTGCTGCCCATCCACAGTGACTTTGGTCACCTCTGGCTGTCCATCCCTCTCCTGCTACCAGCTGTCCAGGCCAAGGATATTTACTAGTCTAATGGCCAGAGGCTCTAGTTCTGTAGCAGCCAATCTTCAGCATCAAACGCACATTTCAGTTAGATGCAGGGTGGATAAAAATCAATGATTTTTTTAAAAAAAATAAAAAAAAATCAGATTTTTTTTTTTTAAATTTAAATCTGATTTTTTTGATTTAAATCGGATTTTTTTTTAGATTTAAATCGGATTTTTTTTATTTAAATCAGATTTTTTTTAAATAAAATGCTTTTTGAGGAAAATATATTACCATCCAAAGGTTATTCCATCATGAAATAACGATTTGTTTTTTTAATTCTGTAGAATAAGGCTGTATATGTTTAATTTTTTTGGTAAATAATTCCATGACTCCATTCACAATGTCACGCTCTCCAGAGGTTTCTGTCAGATTATTGGGCAGTTTCTCTGCCTACAAGATATTATCACAGATGATTGGTTTACTTTTGCAGTTCTCAAAACTGAATTTGAACTCAGCGGAGATCACATGCCTCTTCACAGCAAAAATGTTATAACATGAACAGAGTTAAGAAAAAGACCTTCATCCTAACTTCTACAAACCTATGAATACAGAATCAACCCCATCAGTGCCAAGGTGCAAGAAGTTCAGTGAATAGAATAGAAACAATATTTTTCTGATTGTTTGGAGTGGAATAGATCTGCACAAGAAGAAAGTGAAACGAAGTGTGAGGAGGAGGGGCCGACGGTGCGAGGAGGAAGGGGCCGCAGTGCGAGGAGGGAGGGGCCGACGTGTGCGAGGGGCGAGGAGGGGCGACAGTGCGAGGGGCCGACAGTGCGAGGGGGAGGGAGGGGCCCGACAGTGCGAGGGGGAAGGGGCCGACAGTGCGAGGAGGGAGGGGCCGACGGTGCGAGGGGGAAGGGGCCGACAGTGCGAGGAGGAAGGGGCCGACGGAAGGGGGGAAGGGGCCGACAGTGCGAGGAGGGAGGGGCCGACGGTGCGAGGAGGGAGGGGCCGACGGTGCGAGGGGGAAGGGGCCGACGGTGCGAGGGGGAAGGGGCCGACGTGCGAGGGGGAAGGGGCCGACAGTGCGAGGGGGAAGGGGCCGACAGTGCGAGGGGGAAGGGGCCGACAGTGCGAGGGGAAGGGGCCGACAGTGCGAGGGGGAAGGGGCCACAGGCGAGGCGGGAGGGGCCGACAGTGCGAGGAGGGAGGGGCCGACAGTGCGAGGAGGGAGGGGCCGACACAGTGCGAGGAGGAGGGGCCGACAGTGCGAGGCGGGAGGGGCCGACAGTGCGGGAGGGAGGGGCCGACAGTGCGAGGCGGGAGGGGCCGACAGTGCGAGGGGGAAGGGGCCGACAGTGCGAGGGGGAAGGGGCGACAGTGCGAGGGGGAAGGGGCCGAGGAAGGGGCCGACAGTGCGAGGAGGGAGGGGCCGACAGTGCGAGGAGGGAGGGGCCGACAGTGCGAGGAGGGGAGGGGCCGACAGTCTAAGTTTCTTCAAATATATATATTTTGTTTAGCCAAATTAGTTACCAAACATGGATGTTTAAGCAAATACCATATGCTGGAATGTTATTGTTTCAGATGAATAAATCTATTTAAATTGTTATTATTAAGGTAATGATTATTCTTCTCCTTCCTAAGTGCAACAGAAAAGTTGTCCAAATATGAATGATTAACCTATTAAACTGGGGATAAAAAAAAACGAATATGAAAAGTTGTTATTCTACAAATCTTCATCTACTTGTATATTACAAGTTATACCAGCAAGAATTAGTCTTTATGTAGAAAACTAGGATTTACATCCAGCCTTACTGACTAGTGATTTAAATCAAATCCACCCTGGTTAGATGTCTGCAACCCTGATCCCCCTGACCCCGCTGTGGTTTCGGTCACTACATCAACACAATAATAATCTATGGGTGAAACCACAGTATGCAGCAGGGGGATGCAGGCATCCAACAAACCCTGAAGTACACTGCACACTGAAAATCCAATTCCAATTTTATTCTTCTCGTGTACTAAGGTTGAACAATTTATACCAATGTATCATTGAGGAAAGAGACACTTCAAGCCAAATATCATAAGAGTGGAACATAAATTGTCCTTTACATTCCAGGTTGATAGAGACTTCTTCTTTTTTTCATATTAGCGAAGGTTTGTTGCAGAGATTAGGTTTACACCCCGGTCAAATCAAGCCCGACTTTGAAATCGTGCGACTTACAGTGAAGTCGCACGAATTTCAAAGTCGGGGGACCCGCCGATTTCGGGTGCGATTTGCTAGACATCTATCTACACAAATTGTACCAAATGTAATGCATGTACTACTTTAGAAATCGGTGAGGCTCTGGCCAAGTCGGAACCACACTGATATGACCGCTGTAATTGCGGACGATAGGATGCGACTTGGCATGCGATTTTTTCAGGTCGCAGGGTATGCAAATCGCATGCCAAGTCGCACCCAGTGCGACCAGGGACTGACGGTATTCCCGAGTGTAGCTCGGGGTAAAATTTCAGCACCACAAGCGGTAAAACCCCCCCCCCCCCCGAGCTACACTCGGGAATACACTGCAGCGTTGCTCCGGGATCTCTTCTTCACTTACCTTGTCCTGCACTCCCACGATGTCCCCCCTGCAGTGTCCCCTGTAATGTCCTCCGGCTGATGCCGGCATCCGTCTTCCGGGTTCCGTTCCCTGCGACGTCGGGACGTACGGGGGATGGAACAGCGGGACATTTGTAAGTTGTAAAAGTGACATTCACTAAATACACTAAAATCACAGAGTATAACATTCCTGTATCAAACCATTTCACATACATTTTGTCCCGAGTGCTTTGTCCGGCGTCCTGCCTGCATTTTTACTGTTCTTTCTGCCTGGAAACTGAGAAACGTCCATGGCGTCCAAAAAGTGTCCCTTTAGGTCAGACGCGGTTTTAGACCGGCTAGAGAACAGCGATAGTAAATCAGAACCACTTGCAGAATTGAGTGATAATGATTGGTGGGGGAAATTCCTCATCAGACACTGAAAACGATTCTGCGACTTTGCTCAGCGATGTGCGAACTTGGCGCTCTATTTCACATTTCAGTGTTTTTTGATTTGATTACATTATTGAATTACATTTATTATTATATTATTTTTTTTATGATTATTTATTAAATTATAATTTATGGTTTCCTGTTTCAAATTTTATCATCCCCGGGATGTTTACTAGACTCTTGTTCGGACAGATTTCAGTAAGTTATTCCTAAAAATTACAGGCCTACAATAAAAAAAAATACATATTTCCATGCAAAAAAATGTACCGCTTTGAGCACAGAAATACTGACATAATCAGACTGCTAGGGAGGCTACGGCCTCATGGCTGCCTGTTTGGCTCAGGATTGACGGTAAGGTTGGACAGGCTTGTGCAGAGTTCTGGTACCAGTTAGGCAGATCTCAGGACTGTGGATCTCATAAATGTTGGGTCCCAATTGTGGCTTTACGTAGAGTCTTTCGTGTTTCATGGCACAACAAATGTTTTATGAATGTTGTATTTTTGATTTTTCAGGTTCAGGAATCTTCAGTGATGACCAGCTCCTCCCAGCGCATCCAGATAATCTCCACAGACTCAGCCGTGTCCACTCCTCAGCGTATCCAGGTATTTCAATATGTCAGTTCAATTTTTGGCAACAAATTTGTTGCACAGTTTGACCAGCTCAATACCGCCACACGTGTATATATACGGCGTTGTATTGAGCTGCTTATACTAGGATCATGATTGAGGCTACAACCATGATTCTGGTACCGTTTTTTTCAGGAGGTGATTCTCTTTTTTGAAAAAGTGATCTGAGCAGCTATACAGCCGCTGGATTGCTTTTACGGGTAGTGGAAGGGGGTCCCCCCTCCTGCCGCCGCCGCTACCTTTACCCGGCTCTCCCGTATCAATGCGACTGCCTCAATCACATTTGCGGAGAAGAGTGACAGGAACGGAAGTTAGCACCTCCGGTTTCGATTCTTTGTTCAGTAGCCAATCAGGCTGAAATGTATCTGATTGGCTGCACTGGAGGTCAGTGAGGCCATAAAGAAGAACAAAAAAAAAAAAAAAACGCGCACCAACCTTGCGCATTACCTCAGTAAACCATAATTCAGAATGATACTCACAAACAACGAAGTAAATCAAGCATGTAAGTCCTCAAAGGAACTTTAGAAATGTGAAGCCTGTGCGAGTCACATCGTAGGGGTAGACACGCAGAGTTTGGCTGACGCGTTTCGAAGGGCATCCCTTCTTCATCAGAGTTTTGAGGACTTACATGCTTGATTTACTTCCTTGTTTGTGAGTATCATTCTGAATTTAATAAAATCATGGTTTACTGAGGTAATGCGCAAGTTTGGTGCGCTTTCTTTTTTGTTTCACTTTGCAGTACTGGTCGGGCTTCCCCAGCCTTGTTTAGAGCTGCACAACCCTATATGCATTGGTGGTCGAATTTTTTCAATTTCTGGTTCCATCCATCCACCCCTATTCTGGGTCAAAGAGCGCAGGAGAGGTCGTTCCAGGCCATAAAGAGGACCTGTCCCTTGTGATAGCAATAATGTTGATTAAAAAAAATAAAAATTAGAGACAGTGTAAAAAAAAAAAAAAAAAAAAGAAATGTAATAAAATAAAAAAAAGTCCCCCACACATATGTAAATGGTGATCACACCACACATGTAAGGTATCGCCGTGAACGTCAAAGCGAGAGCAATAATTCTAGCTCCAGACCTCCTGTGTAACTCTAATCTAGTAACCTGTAAAGTCTTTTTTAAGCGTGACCTATGGATAACTTAATATACCATATTTTTTCATCATTCCACAGGCGCTCGTAATTTTACAGTGTGACATGCTTGGTATCTATTTACTCGGTGTGTAACATCATCTTTTATATTTCACCAAAAAATGGGTATTTTGTGTTCACTGAAAATTCATTAACATGTATTCTTTCCAAAACAATTTGCGTTTGAAAAACTGTTGCGGAAATATCGTGCGAAAGAAATTGCATCACCCACCATTTTATTCTTTAGGGCATCTGCTTAAAAACGATGTACTTTTCTGCAGTTCTAAGTAATTTTCTAGCAAAAAAAAAAAATGTTGGAGCAAAATGTCAGAAATGGCCTGGGGGCCAAGCGGTTAAAGTGTCTGTATGAAGATTAACTTTATGCTTCATTGGGGTGTTCGGGTCGGGATGTAGCCGGATATTAGAAATGTGGTCCGTTGTCTTCACAGATTGTAACAGATCAGCAGACAGGACAGAAGATCCAAATTGTAACAGCTGTAGACTCCTCGGTGTCACCCAAGCAGCAGTTCATCTTGACCAGTCCGGATGGATCTGGAGCAGGGAAGGTGATATTGGCCACCCCAGAATCTCCCAATACCAAGCAGCTGATTTTCACAACAGAAAACATCGTCCCGGGGAGGATTCAGGTACGAGGATGTCCTGTTCTTCTGTCAAAAGTAAAACTGTAGGCAAAACTTTTTTTTTTTTTTTCATTTTGGATAGAGCACGGGAGGGTTATAACCCCTGTTAGATTTTTATTTTTTCCCCCCATCTGTGTCTCATTGCGGAGATTTTCCCTTCACTTCCTGTCCCATAGCCAAACAGGAAGTGAGATGAAATCCCCACAAATTAAGGGAATTTCTTGGGGACCCTCCAGGTCACCAAAACTAGTGTCCCCATTGACAGATTTCCCCTCTTACTTTCCTGGGGACAAGTCAAAATTTGGGATTTTATTTTACTTTCATTTTTAATGAAAATCGTAAACAGGACAAATAGAGAGCGTGAATCTCCTTAAAGCAGAGCTCCACCCAAAATGGGAAGTTCTGGTCCCCCGCTCCCCATTAAGGATTGGCACCTTTGGGGAGAGGGTACCCGAATTTGACAGGTACCCGCTCCCAGTTCCGCTACGATCGCCTAGGCCAGTGGTGGGCAACCTTTTTTTTCAACTGAGCCAAATCTCGCCAAAACCACGATTGAAATTTATTTTGAGAGCCACATTTTTAAAACTGAAAATACATAGGTATGGTTTTACACTGTTTTTAGTTTCAATAAGTTTTTATAGTAATTCATCCCCCATATAGTAATTCATATAGTAATTCATCCCCCATATAGTAATTCATCCCCCATAGTAATTCATCCCCCCTATAGTAATTCATCCCCCATATAGTAATTCATCATCCCCCATATAGTAATTCATCATCCCCCTATAGTAATTCATCCCCCCCCCCTATAGTAATTCATCCCCCATCCCCCATATAGTAATTCATCCATCCCCCCATAGTAATTCAGTAATATTCATCCCCCATATAGTAATTCATCCCCCATATAGTAATTCATCCCCCATATAGTAATTCCCCCCATATAGTAATTCATCCCCCATAGTAATTCAGTAATTCATCCCTCATATTGTAGTAGTAAGTAAGTAGCAAGTAGTAAGCCAAGTCCCCCCTGTGTCAATTCACTTACCTTTGCTCCGCGCGTTCCTCTCCTCTCGTGTGTTCCCGCGCCGTTCCGGTCTTCAGGGCGGACTGTGAGAGGAGCCTAGCTCCTCTCACGTTCGTCACGCTGCCCCGCCTACACACATCCTGACAGCCAATCACTGGCTATCAGGATGTGAGTGGCAGCAAGACTGGCTAATCATTGCATTTGAGCGCGCTGCCCTGGCTGTTTTTTTTTTTGGATCACGCTGCAGAGTCCCTGCCGCCCGAGAGGAGGGAGGGGAGCGGGGTGCCCGGCACACAAGAGCCGCATTAAAGCGTGTAAAGAGCCGCATGTGGCTCGCGAGCCGCGGCTTGCCGACCACTGGCCTAGGCAATCGGAAGCAGAAGTTGTCCTCCCTCCCCGTAGTCTTTTGGGACACGTGAAAGGTGCCAGAAGACTATGGAGCCATTCAAGAAGCACAGCGCTACTCGCGCATGCGCAGTTCGCACCCGGCTGTGAAGCCGCAAGCTGTCACAGCCAGGTGCCCACACTGAAGATGCCGGCGCCTGGAACACCAGACGGCTGGTGAAACGGGCTGCGGGGAGGACACCGCGGGATCGTGGGACAGGTGAGTGGCTGTTTAAGAGTCAGCAGCTACAGTTTTTTATTTACAGTGTGAGTGGAACTCCGCTTTAACAGGTAGCAATGAACACTGACCGGTGTTGTAATTACTCTGCACTCTATCCATCTTTAACTGACCTATTTAAATGCCAATCTGAACCTTCAGTTTAAATTAGCTAAATTAATTCAAGGTACATTAACCCCCGGTTCACATCTGTGTGGGTGGTGCCGCTGAGGATCTGCACGAAAATCCGTGCAGCCGCACCAACCGCACAGAGAATTGCGGACCCGTGGGCGGGTGCCATTAGTTCTAATGGCACGCCGCCTGCACTAGGAAACGTAACCGTACTGAGAACCGAGCTTCCTGTGCGGGCTGTGTTTTCCAAAGAAGTGCAGGGACTTCTTTCCCTGCGTGTCACGGGCACGGGAGTCCATTCAAATGCACGGTCGCATAGGTGCGAACCGAGGGTAAAACAAAAGGTGTCCAATGTCTTACAGTTTTTTTTTTTTTTTTTAAAAAGCAGCCACAGCCTGCATGCTTTAAAATGGGACCCTTATTCTTTGTGGAAGCAGCAGCCTCATTGCAGAGGTGCAACACACCCTCTACTAAGTCAGAGCTGTAACTATCCAATCAGCAAAGCTCATGCTTCCGATCGGAGAGTCCTGGCTCAGACACAGCAGGAGGGAATACCAGACCTCTGCCTAAAGACCATTGCATTGCTCCCACACAGAGATCATTGGTTTTCAGCTAAGTACATGAAAGTGATACCTTTCGGGCAATATGGATGATATGGTAATCTGTTCATTCACACAACACTATGTTTGCAGTTGCTGTCAGATTCTTTCTTGAATGCAGTGCGGCTATGTCGTTCGTCAATGCTGTATCGTTGCCTCTTCTCATTTTATTTTTTACACGTCCTATCTTTCCTGTAGATAGTAACGGATGCAGCGTCTCTGTGGAAAGACTTCTGGGAAAAACAGAAGTGCAGCGGCCTCAGATTATCGAATACTGCGTAGTGTGCGGGGACAAAGCATCAGGTTTGTTGAAAATTGTTTTGTGCGTTGATCATCTATTACAGGGGTGTCAAACTGGCGGCCTTCCAGCTGTTGCGAAACTACAAGTCCCATCATGCCTCTGCCTTTGGGAGTCATGCTTGTAACTGTCAGTCTTGCAATGCCTGACCCCAGGTTCACATCTGTGCGGGTGGTGCCGTTGCGGATCCGCACGAAAATCCGTGCAGCCGCACCACCCGCACAGAGAATTGCGGACCCGCGGGAGTTAGTTCTAATGGCACGCCGCCCGCACTGGGAAACGCAACCGTACTGGGAACTGAGGTTCCCATGTGGGCTGCGTTTTCCAAAGTCATGCAGGGACTTCTTTCCCTGCGTGTCAGGGGCACGGGAGTCCATTCAAATGAATGGGCTCTCGTGCCGGTGCAAAATGCGGCGGCGGCGGCATAGGTGTGAACCTAGGGTCATGGGACTTGTAGTTTGGCAACAGCTGGAGGGCCGCCAATTCGACACCCGTGATCTAGTACATCAATGGTACTTTTTAAAGGATAAGTTCACCTTTGGAACATGTTACATGTTCTACCTATTTTTAGGGTGGAACATGTAACATGCGCCAGAATCTGCATCCTTTCCTCCCCAATCCTCCCTCCCTATGACAGTGGGCGGAGGATCCTCTGCCTGCACCCGCTGTCACTTTTTTTTGAAAACAGCTTGACCATGCGGGGCTCCGCCCACAAGGCCAGCCGCTTCATTCATTCATAGTTTCCTGTGAATGGATAAACTACCAGTACCGTCAGCCATTGCAGCTGACGACTTGTAGTTCTCAAGGAACTACAAGGGCACTGGTGAGCGCTCTCATAGTTCAGTTATCTTTCTGCTCTCTAGTAACTGCCTGCCCGAGCAGACAGTGATCCTGATAGTCTGCAGGAGCCTCAGATTGCACCCACGATCTGCTGATCACAGGTACAATGCTCTGCATGCTCTTTAGAATGCTAATTTTTTTTACGTGCAAATTTGTGCATTTATTGTTTTTAAAAGATGAATATGGCCTTTAAAGAGAAAATAAAGTGTGTTTTTTCAATGGGTACAGAATTTAAAAGAGAAGTGTGGACTCTCTTTTTCCTCCCCCCCATTTATACTTACCCAGGTGGATGCATCATCGGTCCCCCCACCGGCTCTAAGCGTGAGAACTCAGCGATCACATGACCTCTGATTGCTGAGTTCTCACAGCTGTCAGTCACCACAGTCTGCTCTGCACCTCCCAGCGCTCACTGCAGCGATGGGCTGTGGAATGGGAGGGAGCGGCTGGCTCAGGCTCTCAGCGGCTCGCTGTGAGGCTGAGCCAGGTTTTGCTCCAGACTCTGAAGTGGATCCCGTCTTTTGAAGTCAGGATCTTTCCCCAATCTGGACCAGCTGAGTGATGTCATTTTTTTATAGATAGCGATTAATTGGGGGTGGGATTAAAGCTGGACCTCAGAGATTTAAAAAAAATCCTTGCAGTGAGGCCTCCCTGCATTGCAAGGGTTAATTTCTTGTTATGTCTCGGGGCTGTTTGTTCCCATAGATCAGCCTTAAAGTGGTTTTGAACCCATACATATACCCAATGAAGTGACCGGCCTCGGATGATACAAAGAGATGAAACAAATCCTCCTACATAGATTGTACCTGTTTATCTGCAGTCTTCTCTTCTCTACAGCTGCTCAAAGTGCTGCATTGATAAAGCTTGTCTGAGAGCTGAAAGTACACTCTGCAGAGCTCAGTGAGGAGAGCTCTGAGAGCTGATTGGAGGTCAGAAACACACCCTTCCTTCACATAGCTCACAGGAACAGAGCTAAGGCTGTCAATCTGGTGGAGCTCCCTCCCCTGTCACCATTTTTTTCTTGGTGTCAGGAAAACTTGTCAGAAGTGACTCATGCTATTGGCAGAGGAAGGAGGCAACAGGCAGAAAAGACACTTTGTGCTCTGGATTGAGACAAGTACACATTATAGAGGGATATGCTTTGTTCATATTTCAGTGGTTTACAACGATTTTAACATTGTTGGTTTAGGTCAGGGGTAGGCAACCTGCAGATCTCTAGCTGTTGTGGAACTACATTTCCCATGAGGCATTGCAAAGATTACAAAACTGGCAGTTACAGCTATGACTTGCAGAGGCATGATGGAACTTGTAGTCCTGCGGCTCTCAGGTTACCTACCCCTGGTTTAGGTGATGGTAGTGATCTGGCCAATATTGGATGAGCTCACAGTAGGGTTGATTTATTAAAACTGGAGCACTCAGAATCTGGTGCAGCTCTGCATGTTAGCCAAATCAGCCTCTATCTTCAAATTGTTCAATCAAAGTGGAGTTCCACCTGAAAAACAAAAAGTCAGCAGCTGCAAAAACTGTAGCTGCTGACTTTTAAAATACAGCCACTTACTTGTCCCTCGGTCCGGCATTGTCCTCACCACCGCTGGTTTCACCGGCCGTCTTCTCTCCCTGGCGCTGGCATCTTCAGTGTGGGCAACCCGGCTGTGACAGCTTGCGGCCTCACAGCCGGGTGCCCACTGCGCAGTCGCAAGAAGCGCTGCGCTTTGTGAATGGTCCGTAGTCTTCTGGGACCTGTCATGTGTCCTAGAAGACTACGGGGAGGGAGGGGGGAAGAACAACTTCCGCTTCCGATTGCCCAAGCGATCGCAGCGTAAGTGGGAGCGTGTACCTGTCAAATTCGGACACCCGTTCCCCAAAGGTGCCAGTCCTTAATGGGGAGCGGGGGACAAAGGCTTAAAGCGGAACTTTCCCTTTTGGGTGGAGCTCCGCTTTAAGCTTTGACGATGAAACCCGGAGGCTGATTGGTTTCTATGCAGACCTGCACCAGATGTTGCACTCTCCAGTTTAGTAAATCAGTTCCAATATGTCTTCCCTCTTCTCAATGACGGGTATTTTTTTTTTTTTCAGGTTGCAGACCCTTTTTTCAATGTGCACCATATTTTTTTTTTCCCCCCCTCAGGTCGCCACTATGGGGCTGTCAGCTGCGAAGGATGCAAGGGCTTCTTTAAAAGAAGCGTTCGGAAAAGCCTGACGTACAGCTGTCGCAGCAGCCAGGACTGCGTCATCAACAAGCACCACCGGAACCGATGCCAGTTTTGTCGCCTCAAGAAATGTCTAGAAATGGGCATGAAAATGGAATGTGAGTTTGAGAGTCTGACTTCACTTTTCCCTCATCTGCTCAATAAGAACAGCCTCAAAAAAGGCAACCTACTATTCAGGGAAGTCTAAAGATGGCGTTTTTTTTTTAGCACCCATACCTTTTAAAGCTAGCCATAGATGATTCAATGTTCTTTCCTGCAGCCACGGGTTGCCGGAAGGAAAATATCTTGATTCCCCCTTCAACACAGTATTGATGGGGGAATCCTTCCCATGAAGCTATTGTATTCTGTAGTGTTAAGTGAGCCTTAAGCTGGCCATAGATGGTTCGAATCTTGGCTGGTTCATCTATAGGCAGACTGATTGTACCCAAATCAACTGTTCGACTTTGGTACAACCAACTTGTCAGATTTTTCATGCGATTATTGCCTGCTGTCAATCACCTGGTCCCGGCTGGTGATTACTCGCCGGCGCTCGGTGTTTTCCATGGATTCTCGATGGGGAGGAGAACTGTTTTGTTTACTAACAGTTCTCCTCCCTGTCAGCTCATGCACAGCCATCCAAAGCAGTGTGCTTACAGTGAAGCACACTGACACCACCCCACAGGAAAACACACCCAGCACACAGTTAACCCTTTGATCGCCCCTCATGTAAACCCCTTCCTCCCCCGTGCCATTAGTACAGTGTCAGTGGTTTTTTTTTTTTTTTTTTAGCACTGATCACTGTATTGGTGTCACTGGGGATGTCAGTGACACCAAGTCACTTCCCCCCAGTGTTAGAATATCCGCTGCAGTCCTGCTATAAGTCGCTGATCGCTGGCGTTACTAGTAAAAAAAAAAAAAAAAACTGCTTTGAGGAAAATTGATGAAAGATTGGCAATCCCAGTATATATGTATGTGTATATATATATATATATATATATATATATATATATATATATATATATATATATATATATATATTATATATATATATATGTATATATATATATATATATATATATATATATATATGTAATATATATATATATATATGTATATATATATGTATATATGTATATATATATATATGTATATATATATGTATATATATATGTATATATGTATATATATATATATATGTATATATTATATATATATATATATATATATGTGTATATATATATATATATATATATATATATATATAAAATCGCCATTTGTAAACGCTATAACTTTCACGTAAACCAATTAATTTACATATATTTACATGTCGCAGAATACATTTTGGCCTAAATTTATGACGAAATTAGAATTTTTACATTTGTTTTACTGGACATTTATAATGGCAGAGTCAACAATATTGTGTTTTTTTTTTTCTCAAAATTGTCTGTCTTTTTTTTTTTTTTTTTCATAGCACAAAAAATTAAAAATGCACAGGCGATCAAATGCCACCGAAAGAAAGCTCAATTTGTGGGGGGAAAAAAAGGACGCAAATTTCATTTGGGTGCAGCGTTGCATGACCGCGCATTTTTCAGTTAAAATAATGCAGCGCCGTAACGCAAAAAATGGCCTGGTCAGGATGGGGGGGGGGGGGGGGGATCCTCAGGAAGGTGAGGGGTTAACTTACTGAACTATTTTTTACATCACACATGTGCGTTTTTTGCCCTGCGGCATTCTATTACTGTACATCCTGAGCACTGCGCTTCTTATCTAATTAAGCTTTGAAGGGACAGACCTAATCTAAATAAAAAATGGTAACATCAGTAAACATCTGTATTTTTAGCTAGTAAATTGTATATCCACAGTAAGAGCCAAAATTATTTCCGCTGCAGTGAAGTCGCGTCTAGAAATGCGTAATAAATGTGCCATCTATTTGTCCCCGGGCTAGCTTTACAATGTTTTTGTTGCGAGTGACATTGCCGCCCTGTTTGCGTGAAGAAATGCTGATATCTGGTGCGACTTGTGTACTTATGATGTCAGATGTGTGGGCGATGAACAAGTTAGGGGCTGTAGGATGAATTTTATACCAGGGACTTTCTTGTAGTGTGATCTGCAGCCTTACAGCGAGACTGAGCTGAAGAGAACGTGGGAGAACTCACCATAATGTGCAGCTGAGTTTCTAAACCGGCAAAGATCGCTCTGCTCATCACTGCCACCATTTTTCTCTGATTTTTTCTTTTCATCTTCTTTGCTCAGCCTTTGCCAATAGGCCGGACGGGAAAGGTTTAACCTCTTTATGCTGGCTGAACGCAAATGTGCGGTCTCCCGGCGTCTGGGCCTAGACGCCAAGCGGCCGCACATTTGCGTTCTATTAAAAAAGGACATGTGCCGAGAGTGCGCGCTCCCAGCACACCTGTCCGGTACTCACAGAAAGGTCCCGATCTCCTCTTTTGATCAGGACCTTTCCCGATCATGTGACCGCCGTGACGGTGGTCACATGACCCTAAACCCCGCCTCGCCTTCCGGCTTCTGAAACTCTTAAAGGGCCGGGAGGTGCCGGCGTGAAGGGGTTAAACAAGTCACTGGCCATCCAAATGACAGTCAAGCGGGCGCTCCCTAGATCTGGGAGAATGTCATTATTATTATTATACAGGATTTATATATTATTATTATTATAATTATACAGGATTTATAGCGCCAACAGTTTGCTCAGCGCTTTACAATATAACGGGAGACAGTACAGCAACAATTCAGTTCAATACAAGAGGGTTAGGAGGGCCCTGATCCTTGTCATATGACGTCCTCCCAGTTACACGCCCTGCAGCACGTCCTAGTAGGTGCGCTGCAACGCGATCTGTCACCCGCTGTGTCCTGTGGAGGACAGATGACATATTGGTATACCGGGCCAGTACCACGTGACCTCTGCGACAGCAATCACACGACATTGGTACACAATGAATGGCTTTTATTCATAGCCATTCATTGTGTACTATTGCGATGACCTCTGTGATTGATCACTGTGATCATGTGGTACATACAGGGCTAATCAGAGCCCATCTTTATCATGTGATAGCTGTGGCCAATCACAGAGCAACTATACTTTTGTTGGAAAAGATAAATCCCCTGTCTTAGTGATTAATGTACATTGCAGGGCTTTTAATAAACGCTGTTACAGATTCCTACCTGTTTCTGCTTTGAAGAAAAAGCTGTTTGTTTAATTACGTGACTGTGATTGGGAGAGACATTTCATTGCTAATCAGCTGGTGCACTTGCAGTGTTCTAATGAGAAAAGTTGCAATATCAGCATCCCTTTAGAAGAAATAAACAATTAACCCTTTGGGATTATTTAATCAAAAAGCAATCTTTTGTTTCTTTTTCCTTATCCTCTTTCTTTTTTCTTCTTTTTACTTTTTTTCTTTTCTTCTTTTTTTCCATGACTCAGCAGCTCTGCCCTCTCAGCAGTGGCACTTTAGATCAGCTCTGTCTTCTCTGTGACACAGCAGCTCAGCTCCCCTTGCTATGTCCCCCACTGGTGACTTTTTTTTTTTCTTTTTCCTCTTTTTTTTCTGTTTTCCTTTCTTCTTTTCTTCTTTTTTCTTCTTCTTTTCTTCCATGACTCAGCAGCTCTGCCCTCTCAGCAGTGGCTCTTTAGATCAGCTCTGTCTTCTCTGTGACACAGTAGCTCAGCTCCCCTTGCTATGTCCTTTACTGGTGAATTTTTTTTTCCTTTTTTCTTTTTCCTCTTTTTTTCTTTTTACTTTTCCTTTTTCTTTCTTCTTCTTTTCTTCCATGACTCAGTAGCTCTGCCCTCTCAGCAGTGGCTCTTTAGATCAGCTCTCTCTGTCCTCTCTGTGACACAGCAGCTCAGCTCCCCTTGCTATGTCCTTTACTGGTGACTTTTTTTTTTTCTTTTTTCTTTTTCCTCTTTTTCCTCTTTTTTTCTTCTTTTTACTTTTCCTTTTTCTTTCGTCTTCTTTTCTTCCATGACTCAGCAGCTCTGCCCTCTCAGCAGTGGCTCTTTAGATCAGCTCGGTCTTCTCTGTGACACAGCAGCTCAGCTCCCCTTGCTATGTCCCCCACTGGTGACTTTTCTTTTTTCTTTTTTTCTTTTTTTCTTTTTTCCTTTTTTTTTTTTCTTTCTGCTTCTTTTTTCTTTTCTTCCATGACTCAGCAGCTCTGCCCTCTCAGCAGTGGCTCTTTAGATCAGCTCTCTCTGTCCTCTCTGTGACACAGCAGCTCAGCTCCCCTTGCTATGTCCCTTACTGGTGACTTTTCTTTTTTTTTTTCTTCTTCTTTTTACTTTTCCTTATTCTTTCTTCTTTTTTCTTTTCTTCCATGACTCAGCAGCTCTGCCCTCTCAGCAGTGGCTCTTTAGATCAGCTCTCTCTGACCTCTCTATGACTCAGCAGCTCAGCTCCCCTTGCTACGTCTCCCACTGGTGACTTAATCTGAAAGTTGAGTGTATTACTCTTGTTACTGTTGTTTTTGTACAAAAAAGAAAAAAAAAAGTGACGAGTTAGCAAAAATTGTAATCAGAAATGCTGGTCTGTTGTAGCGGTGCAAAGTGAGCGGAAACCATTTGACATTCAGCGGGAGAAGCCATCCAACTGTGCAGCATCTACAGAAAAGATCTACATCCGGAAGGATCTGCGAAGTCCGCTTATAGCGACGCCAACATTCGTCTCCGACAAAGATGGTGGGAGGTTAGACTCGGCATAATGTACTTTTTTTTTGGATGTGTTTGACAATATCTGTCAGTGAATTGATTGTTATATACTGTATATGTCATGGTTATCATTTTCTCCCTGGAATCCCTTAGCTCAGGCATTCATGCGGGGGGGGGGGGGGGTGTTCTTATCTGAGAAAACCCCTCCTCCCGTGAAGAGATGTATGACATCATTTGCCTAGGCATGGAAACCAGGAAGCAACTGAAGACATGTAAAAAAAAAAAAAAAAGGTGTAAAACAAGTAAATATGATAAACTTTCCTCTCTAGTTACTAATGTTAGCAGCATAAGGAGTACAAATGGTCATTGTTGATTAGGAGAGTGAAGTTCCGCTTTAATACATTCTTCACTAGATGAAAACGCCCAACTACCTGTTCTGCCCACATCCAACTTTAAACACTCACCTGGCTTCTTTCATCGCTCCAGCACTGTCACGGCTGCAGCACCGCTTCCCTCACTTCCTGGTCTCGAAGGAGTTGCTGCGGACAGTGGAGCCATAGACTCCTGCTGCTGTTGGTCAAACATCTGTGAGGACAGAGTGGGGGGACTCATGGCTTGCTGGCACTGTGTGTATGTGTGTGTCTATGGAAACACACAGCCCGTCTCAGGAGCACGCCTGCATGGGTACCTCCTTAGCACCTGACTTGCTACGGAGGCACCTGGAGGAAGGAGAAGTGTCGGCGGAGGGTCCATTGGGGGTCAGTGGGAAGAATGCTCCTTACATTGGTGGTCAGTGGGAAGAATGTCCCTTACATTGGGGGTCAGTGGGAAGAATGTCCCTTACATTGGGGGTCAGTGGGAAGAATGTCCCTTACATTGGGGGTCAGTGGGAAGGATGTCCCTTACATTGGGGGTCAGTGGGAAGAATGCTCCTTACATTGGGGGTCAGTGGGAAGAATGCCCCTTACATTGGGGGTCAGTGGGAAGAATGTCCCTTACATTGGGGGTCAGTGGGAAGAATGTCCCTTACATTGGTGGTCATGGAGAAGAATGCTCCTTACATTGGTGGTCAGTGGGAAGAATGCTCCTTACATTGGGGGTCAGTGGGAAGAATGTCCCTTACATTGGAGGGTCAGTGGGAAGAATGTCCCTTACATTGGTGGTCAGTGGGAAGAATGTCCCTTACATTGGTGGTCAGTGGGAAGGATGCTCCTTACATTGGTGGTCAGTGGGAAGAATGTCCCTTACATTGGGGGTCAGTGGGAAGAATGCTCCTTACATTGGTGATCAGTGGGAAGAATGTCCCTTACATTGGGGGTCAGTGGGAAGAATGTCCCTTACATTGGTGATCAGTGGGAAGAATGTCCCTTACATTGGTGGTCAGTGGGAAGAATGTCCCTTACATTGGGGGTCATTGGGAAGAATGTCCCTTACATTGGTGGTCAGTGGGAAGAATGTCCCTTACATTGGGGGTCAGTGGGAAGAATGTCCCTTACATTGGGGGTCAGTGGGAAGAATGTCCCTTACATTGGTGATCAGTGGGAAGAATGTCCCTTACATTGGTGGTCAGTGGGAAGAATGTCCCTTACATTGGTGGTCAGTGGGAAGAATGCTCCTTACATTGGGGGTCAGTGGGAGAATGTCCCTTACATTGGAGGTCAGTGGGAAGAATGCTCCTTACATTGGGGGTCAGTGGGGAGAATGTCCCTTACATTGGAGGTCAGTGGGAAGAATGCTCCTTACATTGGGGGTCAGTGGGGAGAATGTCCCTTACATTGGTGGTCAGTGGGAAGAATGCTCCTTACATTGGTGATCAGTGGGAAGAATGCTCCTTACATTGGGGGTCAGTGGGGAGAATGTCCCTTACATTGGAGCCATAGACTCCTGCTGCTGTTGGTCAAACATCTGTGAGGACAGAGTGGGGGGACTCATGGCTTGCTGGCACTGTGTGTATGTGTGTGTCTATGGAAACACACAGCGCGGCTCAGGAGCACGCCTGCATGGGTACCTCCTTAGCACCTGACTTGCTACGGAGGCACCTGGAGGAAGGAGAAGCGTCGGCGGAGGACCGTCAGAAGAAAAGGTAAGGGATCTTTCTTTGCAATAATGGTGCACAGAGTAGGTAAGTATGACTTTTTTTTTTTTTTTTAACAAAAAAAAAAAAGCCTTTAGCATCACTTTAAGTGGTAAATTATGTGAATGAAACGTTTTTTTTTGAAGGATTACTGCATTTTTTTTGGTCGCATTATTTGTGAAAAGTAAAAACTTCTTGCTTTTAGAATGAGTTTGTTGCAACATGTATTACTGAAGAGAATATTCAATTCGATAAGCAGCAATAAACTGAAACCTGATTGGTGGTTCAGGTTGGTGCACTTACTTTGGTCATTGCTGTTTGGCTGCTTTATTGAATGCACACCTGTCTGTACCATGACCTTTAAAAAAAAATACCCATTTCTCTGTTATAAGGCAATCAGGACTTCTCGATCCGGGGATGCTGGTCAATATACAGCAGCCACTTGTAAGAGAAGACGGCACTGTGGTTCTGTCTGGAGACTCCAAGGTGAGCCCAGTAATTGTAACTATTACTTTAGACTTCCTAATTGCCCATTAAATGCTTAAAATAATTTTACGTACTTGGGGAACCCCTACTAAATTAATTCATTGGTGGTCATGGGGAAGAATGCTCCCTACATTGGGGTCAGTGGGAAGAATGCTCCCTACATTGGGGGTCAGTGGGAAGAATGTCCCTTACATTGATGGTCAGTGGGAAGAATGCCCCTTGCATTGGGGGGTCAGTGGGAAGAATGTCCCTTACATTGGGGGTCAGTGGAAAGAATGTCCCTTACATTGGTGATCAGTGGGAAGAATGTCCCTTACATTGGTGATCAGTGGGAAGAATGTCCCTTACATTGGAGGTCAGTGGGAAGAATGTCCCTTACATTGGCGATCAGTGGGAAGAATGTCCCTTACATTGGCGGTCAGTGGGAAGAATGTCCCTTACATTGGCGGTCAGTGGGAAGAATGTCCCTTACATTGGCGGTCAGTGGGAAGAATGTCCTTTACATTGGCGATCAGTGGGAAGAATGCTCTTTACATTGGGGGTCAGTGGGAAGAATGATCCTTACATTGGCGATCAGTGGGAAGAATGTCTCTTACATTGGTGGTCAGTGGGAAGAACGTCCCTTACATTGGTGGTCAGTGGGAAGAATTCCCCTTACATTGGTGGTCAGTGGGAAGAATTCCCCTTACACTGGTGGTCAGTGGGAAGAATTCCCCCTCACATTGGTGATCAGTGGGAAGAATGTCCCTTACATTGGAGGTCAGTGGGAAGAATGATCCTTACATTGGTGGTAAGTGAGAAGAATACCCCCTGCACTGGTGGTCAGTGGGAAGAATGTCCTTACAGATAGCTAATAATATCAATAGTGTTTTGCTGCTGGTTCTGACAAGTGTCTTTGAGACCGATCGGACCGGCCTGAGAAAGGAGCGCGCATGCTCCGAAATTGCGCCATTTTTTAATTCTGGCTTGTGCTGTGACACGATGGGGTTTATTTACTAAACCTGGTTGACTCAGAATCTTGGGCACCTGTGCATGGTAGCCAATCAGCTTCTAACCTTAGCATGTTCAGTTAAGCTTCAGCAATAAAACCTGGAAGCTGGTTTTTATGCAGAAGTGGACAAGATTCTGAGTCAACCAGGTTTAGTAAATAAACCCCGATATGTCCAAGCCTCCCTGCGCCACTCTGCTACCCCCCAAGCCCTGGAAGCCACCGGAGTGATGGGTACCAACCAGAAGCACCGCATAGGACTACCAGTACACCGGACGCTTCTGTTATACCATGACATGCCTTTCTTTAATCTTCTACTCTTGTGAGTGAATTTGGGAACGTGTGCCTTTTAACCATCTACACTTAGAGTGGCACCACTTTCTCTCTTCTCTATGATAGATACCCAACTTGTCAAGCCCTAAAATTGTGTGCACCCCTGAAACAATGACAAACTTCGGTACCCTAAATTTTTCCCTAGGTGATTCTACGGGTCAAACATTTAGAGTTAACCGTGAATAACGGCCCCAGATTTATTGCTCTCACTTTTTTGGGGGGGGAGAGAGGTTGAGTGCTTAGGTGTAACTTATTTTTTTTTTCCATTTTGTTGAAATTTTAAAAGTCCCCTGTATGATATAATTTTGTTGTGACAGGTCTCTTTATTGGGAGTCACTTTGGGTGGGGGACCCATGGAACCCAGCTCACTTTGGAGAGGTGGGGAGACCCCTGTCTCAGCTCCCCATATCCCTCTTATGTGTAAGTCACCCTGTGCCTGTTTGGGGTACAAGGAGATCTGTCCTAATATTGGGGTGGGGAGTTGTTGATTGTTTAATGCCATGTGGTTGCATCCCATTGTTCTATTGTGTGTCTTGCTTGGGAGCAAACTATTATGGGATGTTTGTGTTTTTATGGGTATTGGCTTGGTGGGGGGTGTCTCCAGCAGCCTTTCCTCTTGATGAGACTGTCTGCTGGTGTGTCTCTTGTTACTAAATGTAGATTGCCCCGCCCTGTGTCATTATGCAGGGAGGGGGGATTGTTCCCTTGAGTGTATATATCTTGTATCTGTGTCAAAATAAAATAGTCTACTCTGGTTTACTTCAAGTCTGGTGTCGTCTAGTCTTGTTTGGTCGGCTGTGGTGTCTGTGGTCGGTGTTTGGACAGGGAAGCGGTATTATAACGAAAGTACCCAACGCAGAATGGGGCCGGTTCCATTACAGAGATGACACCCCCTAATGTCTCACTTGCCGTTTATTTACGCTAAAAGAGAGCAGATTGGACTTGATTAGCTTCTTCCCCAGCCACAGCGGCCAGGGAAACTGACAGCCGGAAGGAATGTAAGTCTCTAACGGAACCGGAACCCAGACCGCACTGAGTTTTTCCGTTATAGCACAACTTCCCCTGTCCGAACACTATCCATGGACCACACCCTTGAAATCCCTCAGGAAACAGACAGCACCCAGCTCTGCTTAATACAGGAAGCCAACAAATCTTTATTTTACACAAACAACATGTTTTATACAGAGGGCGGGGAAACACAACCAGGAACAGGAAATACATCATCAGCCCGCCCCATCCCACCCAGACACAGAACAATGGGATGAAACACATGGTAAAGGACATTGACCAACCCCCCACACCAATACACAAACAGTACATCCCATAATAGTTGGCTGGACAGGAAGACACAGCACAATGGGGGGTAGCACATGGCAAACAGACAATGGACAGCCATGTGGCCTAGACAAAGGAACACACACTATACACAAGACTCAGACATTCACATACACACCCTGTACCCCTTAAACAGGCACAGGGTGGGTTAAACATAATGATTTGGGGAGATGATACAGAGGTCCCCCCACCCCCAAAAGTCACTCCCGTCACAAAGTCGCTTCCAGATTTTTACTAGGTAGTGGATATCATCAAATGGATGTTAGTGTCCCTCCCCTCTACCCAGCAGCACCTGCCAGGGGGTTCCTAGGGCTGCAGTTGGGAGAGAGGAGACTGGGAATTGCATGCTGGGGGGTGATGTTCTGGGGGTGTGTGGAAGTGATCGATCGGCTTGTCAGATTTACATGCTTTCCCAGTGTAGGTAAATGAAGGTAGTTGCACCCATTTATTCTTTAATGCACGTTTTCTAAATCCCTAGACGGAAGCCAGTCAGGGTGGACTGGGAACTCTAGCAAACGTTGTCACATCGCTCGCCAGTCTCACGGAGTCGGAAAACAATGGGGACACTTCAGATGCCCAACCAGAGGACCAATTCTCCAGTGAGATTACGCGGTAGGTGCCTGAAAATTGTGGATATGAATAGTGTGCAGAGAATGAGAGTTGGGTCCCTGTGACAAAGCGGTACAAACACCAATGACTGACCTACGCTTCATGAAAGATCAGGTCCACCAAAACAGGTTTGTGTGTTTTGATCAGAGTGGGGCAGGGTTCAAGCACCCTATTGATGTCCACTGCTCTCCAGAAATACGACAAGGAGATCCTCTCTTGCCCCTGATGCGGCTGTGAAAGCTGAGTTTTGTTTTTCAGGGGTCCCACGGTTGTCACTGGTTTAGTGGGCTCAGGACACAATTTTATATTACCGCCCTCTAGTGCATTCTTCATAGCATTACATAGGGAATTCGCTCCAGCCGGTGACAGAGATAGCTCGGCTGCAAATCCTAAATGACATGCCACAGTCCTGTAAAGAAGAGGGAGGGGTCCAAGATAACTGTATAGACCAGGGGTGGGCAACTGTGGCCCTCCAGCTGTTGGCGAACTACAAGTCCCATCATGTCTCTGCCTTTGGGAGTCATGCTTGTAACTGTCAGTTTTGCAATGCCTCATGGGACTTGTAGTTCTACAACAGCTGGAGGGCCACAGTTGCCCACCCCTGGTATAGACCCAACAATTGCTGCTACAAATTTGCAAGTGTGATGTCTCCCTTGTACATAAAGTACAACTCTTAGGCCTGGTTCACATGGGTGCACCACAGTGTACACCCGTGCAAGGGCCCTGTTTACCCACATGGGGATGCACAGGTGTTTGCATATCCCGTCCCATTCATGTCTGTCTGCATTCAGGGCCATGCACTAGCATGACTATCAAATTGGGAACAGCGGCTGTGTTTGTGTTACCGTTGCATCCCATTTGATATGAATAGGAATTAGGGATGCACCTAAATTTTGGCCACCGAAACACATCGACTGAAAATAGCCCTATCGGCTGAGAAAGGCAGGAGGGGAGCAGTGTATATAGTGACAGTATGTATATGTCAGTGCCACTTTTTAAATGTAATTACCGGCTTTTTTTTTTCTGTTCACTATGGCTCACAGAATTAGCTGTCACTTCCCCGCCAGCTAAAAGAAACAGTTTCCTTTTAGTTTCTTTCCTGAGTTAAAATAAACAATGTTTCCTTTTAGTTTCTTTCCCCCGAGTTAAAATAAACAATGTTTCCTTTTAGTTTCTTTCCCCCGAGTTAAAATAAACAATGTTTCCTTTTAGTTTCTTTCCCCCGAGTTAAAATAAACAATGTTTCCTTTTAGTTTCTTTCCCCCGAGTTAAAATAAACAATGTTTCCTTTTAGTTTCTTTCCCCCGAGTTAAAATAAACAATGTTTCCTTTTAGTTTCTCCCCCCCCAGTTAAAATAAACAATGTTTCCTTTTAGTTTCTCCCCCCCCAGTTAAAATAAACAATGTTTCCTTTTAGTTTCTTTCCCCCCAGTTAAAATAAACAATGTTTCCTTTTTGTTTCTTTCCCCCGAGTTAAAATAAACAATGTTTCCTTTTAGTTTTCCCCCCCCCCCCAGTTAAAATAAACAATGTTTCCTTTTAGTTTCTTTCCCCCCAGGTAAAATAAACAATGTTTCCTTTTAGTTTCTTTCCCCCCAGTTAAAATAAACAATGTTTCCTTTTGTTTCTTTCCCCAGAGTTAAAATAAACAATGTTTCCTTTTAGTTTCTCCCCCCCCAGTTAAAATAAACAATGTTTCCTTTTAGTTTCTTTCTTTGTTAAAATAAACAAAGTTTCCTTTAGCTCCGGGAAAAGTGACAGCTAATTCTGTGAGCTATAGTGAAGAAAAAAAAAAAGTTGTCAATCTGCACCGACCTATAGTAACAGCGAGGGAACCTTTCTGTATACACTGCTCCTCTCCTGCCCCCTCCTTACACACACTGCCCCCCACCCCCTCCCCCTTACAAAGACGACCTGTCACTCTTTTGCTGTCACATAGGGGACTAAATTAAAATTTTTTATATATATATATATATATATATATATATATATACACACACATATACACACACAAAAAAAAACACACGTATACATACACACACACACACACGCATACAGATACATGAAAGTAGAAAAAAAAAATTGGAGCCTCCCCACCCCCCACATACGCAGACGTTTCAGTTCGGTTTTCGGCCACGCGCATTCTGAATTTTCGGTATTGGTTTCGGCATCAGAATTGATGGTGCACCACTAATAGGAAAGCCTGTACGGGATGCATAGAACACCTGTGCATCCCCTTGTGTGCAAAAAAAACGGCCCTCTCAGGGGTGTACACCGTAGTTTGTCTGTGAATGAGGCCTTATTGTATGTGTGCTGCTTTATTTTTTCTATATCGCACATTGAGATTTGTCCACTGACTCTCGTAGGGCTTTTGACACGTTAGCAAAAGCACTTAACACATCAGAGTCAGCTGGAGGACAGAACCAGCCAGAAGCGGACGGGGTGGACCCAGCAGCTGGAGGGAACATTCACGTCATTAGCCGGGATCAGGCCACCCCTATCCTGGAGGTGGAAGGACCCCTTTTGTCAGACACACATGTCACATTTAAGGTAGGTGGCGATACCCCGTAAACGTGCATGTTTTCTAAGACTCAGACCTCAGGGTTTTATGTGATCTGCATCTGTTTTCTTTTTTTTGCTGCAGCTAACTATGCCGAGTCCGATGCCGGAGTATCTGAATGTACATTATATTTGTGAGTCAGCTTCCCGCTTGCTTTTCCTTTCCATGCACTGGGCTCGATCTATTCCTGCCTTCCAGGCCTTGGGGTAAGTCTGATTGTCACCTCTTCAGCTAATAGCTAGTAATAGGTTTGTGGCTGTGTTGCAGCAGTTCAAGACTTCATGTCTTCATGTATTACTTTTAAGTATGTATTACCCCTGATCAGGTGCGGACTGACAACTCATGGGGCCCCCGGACAATAAGGGATCATGGGGCCCCTGTGTCCTTGCCCACACTCAAAGCACACCCAAAAAAGCCTATAAAAGATACCAGGGGCATTTCATGGGGCCCCCTACTGACCCCGGGGCTCTCGGGCAGTGCCCGAATGCTCAAATGGTCAGTCCGCCCCTGCCCTGCCCCTAATATTGGATGATGGTGAATAAAATGCAGGAGAATTAGAGGATTGGAGAAGATGCCTCAAAAAAAAAAAAAAAAAAAAAAAGCTACAAAGCTATCCCAGCACTAAGCATTGTTAGTTAGCAAAGGGGACCTAATTAAATCTGGTTTCTAACATTTTAGTTAAAGGTTTAGTTGCATAAATTTGCAAGTCTTTTTTGTATTTTAATGTTTTTATTAATTTATAAACAATTTAAGACAGGAGCAACAAAACAAAACGCAGGGGCTATCAATTGGACATAAAAAAAAAAATATTAAAAAAAAACAGTGCTCTAACACCAACAGAGCTAAAGGTGCGCCCACGCAGGGCCTATCAATGGCACATAAATGACAAAAACATTAGTATAACACCGACAGTTACTCAAACTAAAGGCAGCTATCCACCGCCACACCAAAAACAAACAGAAAAGGAAAGAGGAGTACAAAAGGAAAAAGATAACAAGACTAAGAGCAGGGGTCAGAGAACGCCAATACCAAGCAACATCACATCCCCAGATTAGCTGGGGGGGGGGGGGGGGGGGAGCGTGGGAAAGGCATATTGCAACCACGGCTCCCATATTTTCAAGAATTTCCATTGGGAGTCGTTAGATACTCAACATCTGTTCATTGAGCATCATAGTGATCATACGGTCCCGCACCCCCTGAAGCGGGACAAACGGGCTCTTCCATGCCTGAGCAATTGTTCTAATGGCCGACAAAAACAAATAGGAAGCCAACTTCTGCTGGTGAGCCAAGAGGGTCGGTATGTGCAAGTATATTTTGAATTTGCACACCATGCAGTTTTCCGATCTAAAAAGTAAACCTGTGTCCGGGCAACAGACATTCAAAGAATTACATATTCTTAACGAGCATTATATGCTTTCAAACAAACCTTCAGTGACCTTTGTTGCTGCAGGCACTTTGGAGCAATTTGTCCTTAAAGTGGAAATTTAGTCAGAAAAGTAAGTCTTGCTAGATCACTTCAGGCTGGCCCCTTTAGCTATGTAAACCATTATAAATTAGTGCCTATACTGTTTATAATCCAGTAAATACACTCACCGTTCTCTGCACATGCTCAGTTGCTCTCTATTTTTAGGCACTGCTGAATTTGTAGAGGTCGATCTGCTGACAGCCTTAAGACTTTGTTCACATCTGTGCGGGTGGTGCCATTGCAGATCTGCTTGAAAATCCGTGCAGCCGCACCACATGCACAGGGGAATGCGGACCCGCAGGTGGGTGACATTAGTTGTAATGGCACGCCGCCTGCACTGGAAAAATCAACCATACTGGGAACAGAGGTTCCCGCGCGGCCTGCGTTTTCAGAAGAAGTGCAGAGACTTCTTTCCTGTGTGTCACGGGGCACGGGAGTCCATTCAAATGAATGGGCTCTCCTGCCTGCACAAAACGCGGTCCGCACGGCCGCCTATATGTGATCCAGGGGTAAGACCCTTGTCACACTGAATGCGATTTGCATGCCATGCGAGTTGCAAATCGCAGCCTATTGTCTGCAATTAGAGCAGTCATATCGGTGCGGTTCCAACTTGGTCGAAGCCGCACCGATTTCTAAAGTAGTACATGCGCTACTTTTGGTGCGATTTGCATGGACATTGTATCAGATGTCTTGCAAATCACACCTGAAATTGGCATGTCGCCCGACTTTGAAATCGTGCGAACTGGTCAAGTCGGGTTTGATGTGACCAGGAAGGGGGGGGGGGTAAACTGATTAAACCCTCCTATCCCTTACCCCTGGATCACATCTGTGCGGCCGTGTGGGCTGCGTTTTGCATGGGCACAAGAACTAATTCATTTGAATGGACTCCCGTGCCCGTGACACGCAGGGAAGAAGTCCCTGCAACCTTGGAAAACGCAGCCCACACAGGAACCTCGGTTCCCAGTACGGTTGCATTTTCCAGTGCGGGCGGCGTGTCATTGGAATGAATGGCACCCGCCCGCGGGTCCGCATTTCTCTCTGCGGGTGGTTTGGCAACTGATTTTTCATGCGGATGCACTGGCACCACCCGCACAGATGTGAACCTAGGGTCACAGCCAAGGAAACTGCTTGTTTTTGATCTGCAACTAGTTAAGCTGCCATGGCGCTGCACATATTCCATTCGATGGCTTGACAGTTTAGTTGATAACACAAGCAAATGTGACAGTTGGCTATCCCAACATTCCAGGAGAATGTAACTTTTTTTTAAATTATTAACCACTTGCCCTCCAAGGATTCCCCCCCCCCCCTTCCTGACCAGGCCATTTTTTGCTATACAGCGCTGTGTTACTTTAACTGTACAATTGCGCAGTCATGCAACGCTTCACCCAAATTAAATTTTATGTCCTTTTTTTCCCCCACAAATGGAGCTTTCTTTCGGTGGTATTTGATCGCCTGTGCGGTTTTAATTTTTTTGCGCTATAAACAAGACGACACTTTTGAGAAAAAAAAAACAATATTTTTGACTTTTTGCTATTAAACACGTCCAGTAAAAAAAAAATAAAAAAAAATCAAATTTTGTCATAAATTTAGGCTCTAGTGTTTGCTAAACAAAAATCCCAATATGTGTAAATTAATTGGTTTACGTGAAAGTTATAGCATCTACAAATGACGGTCTATGTATGTAATTTTGTTTTTTTTATATATAGTAGTAATGGCGGCGATCAGCGACTTAAAGTGGGGACTGCGGTGAACATTCTGACACTGGGTGGGAACTGCCTAACTGTCACTGACATCCCCAGTGATACCCTTACAGTGATCAGTGCTAATAAAAAGCCCTGACACTGTACTAATGACACAGGACAGGAAGTTCGAGCCTTACCTTGTCCTGCGATCCCATGAGGTCCTCCTGCTGTGTTCCCAGGCCATGCCCCCCCCGGTTGATGCTGGCATCCGTCTTCCAGGTTCCGTTCCCTACGAGCGTTGGGATGTACGGGGGGTGGAAGCGGCGGGAGATTCAAAAAAGTAAAACTTTGACATACACACAATACATTGTAATCTGTTAGGATGCCATTACTGTATCAAACCATTTCACATACATTTTTCCCGAGTGCTTTGTCCGGCGCCCTGCCTGCATTTTTACTGGCTTCTTTCTGCCTGGAAACTGAGAAACGTCCATGGCGTCCAAAAAGCCCTTTAGGTCAGACGCGGTTTTAGACCGGCTAGAGAACAGCGATAGTAAATCAGACAGCAGAATTGAGGATAATGATTCGTGGGGGAAATTTCATCAGACACTGAAAACGATTCTGCGACTGAGCTCAGCGATGTGCGAACTTGGCGCTATATTTCACATTTCAGTGTTTTTGGTTTGATTATATTATTGACTTAACTTTATTATTATTATATTATTTTTTATAATTATTTATTATATTATAATTTATGATTTTGTGTTTCAAACTTTAACATACCCGGGATGTTTACTAGACTCTTGTTTGGACAGATTTAAAGCGGAGTTATTCCTAAGAATTACAGGCTGACAATATAAAACAACAAATTTCCATGCAAAACAATGTACCGCTATGACATTCAAAAATATTGATTAACCGCCAGGAAGGGTAAAAGAACAAATATTAACCTCTTCACGCCGGCTTAACGCAAATGTGAGACCTTCCGGTGTCTGGGCCTAAATGCCGAGCGGCCGCGCATTTGCGTTCTATTAAAAAAATTGAGAGCGCGCATGCTCCCAGCACACATGTCCTGGTACTCACGGAAAGGTCCCGATATCCTCTTTCGATTGGGACCTTTCCCAATCATGTGACCGCCATGACGGCGCGTCACAGCGGTCGCATGACCCTAAACCCCCGCCTCTCGGGCTTCTGAAACTCTTAAAGGGCCGGGAGGTGCCGGCGTGAAGGGGTTAATCCAGCATTTTCTTCCTTGTAGTCAAAATTTTTTCTTGCACTTCTGTGTGTCTCCTTCGGTAATTAAGACTAGTTAAGCTGCTGCGTTTTTTCCTTTCACCTCACATACACTCATTTGTTGGCGTTTCCTCTCCAGTGAGAACCAGTGCAACAAACTTCCACTAAGAGTAAACCTTACCATCGCCCTAAAGTAAACCTGACCCCACACCAGATGACTTCTACAGGATAATGTGTGAAATGACTTCGGCAGGCATTTAATATCTGATCCGTACTGTCCAAATTCTTTTCCAGGCAGGATTGTAACACCACTCTCGTTCGTGCCTGCTGGAATGAACTGTTCACGCTCGGCCTTGCACAGTGTTCACAAGTGATGAGCCTCTCCACCATCCTGGCTGCCATTGTTAACCACCTACAGAACAGCATACAGGAAGGTACTGGATTCTATAGATGTTTGCTGTTCCATATTCTCACTGCAGTATTACATATTCAGATTTGTAGAGGCTTCTTTTAGGGGCTTTCAGTATAGCTGGCTATAGCCAGGCAGATGTTCCCTGAGAATGACAGGTAGGTAAAGTTTTTGTAATATAGGCAGACATCTACCTGTTCACTCTAGGGCTGGTGCTCTGTTGTGACTTTTCTGTTTGGTAGAAGCTGGTGTGACATTAAAGCGGAGCTCCACTCACTCTGTCAAAAAATAAGTTGGCAGCTACAAAAACTGTAGCTGCTGACTTTTAAAATACAGCCACTTACCTGTCCCTCGGTCCCGTGGTGTGTCCTCCGCAGCCCAATCCACCAGCCATCCTGTATTCCAGGAGGCTGGCATCTTCGGTGTGGGCACCTTGTTGTGATAGCTTGCAGCTTCACAGCCGGGTACCCACTGCGTGTGCGCGAGTGGCGCCGCGCTTCATGAATGGTCCTGTAGTCTTCTGGGACCTGTCACGTGTCCCAAAAGACTACAGGGAGGGAGGGCACCTTCCGGTTCAATGACCTAGGCCAGTGGTGGGCAACCTTTTTTTTCAACTGAGCCAAATCTCGCCAAAACCACGATTGAAATTTATTTTGAGAGCCACATTTTTAAAACTGAAAATACATCCCCAATATAGTAATTCATCCCCCATAGTAATCCATCCCCCCTATAGTAATTCATCCCCCATATAGTAATTCATCCCCCATATAGTAATTCATCCCCCATATAGTAATTCATCCCCCATAGTAATTCATCCCCCCATATAGTAATTCATCCCCCCTATAGTAATACATCCCCCATATAGTAATTCATCCCCCCTATAGTAATTCATTCCCCATATTGTGTCAATTCACTTACCTTGCTCCGCGTGTTCCTCTCGCCGTGTTCCCGTGCCGTTCCGGTCTTCAGGGCGGACTGTGAGAGGAGAGGAGTTCGTCACGCTACCCCGCCGACATCCTGACAGCCAATGTTTGCCACGCTCCGCGGGCCGGATTAAAAGGTCCGCCGGGCCGTAGTTTGGCCATTGCTGGGCTAGCTGCAGAGTCCTGACTTTTGGGGCGGCCGCCCGAGAGGAGGGAGGGGAGCGGGCGCCCGGCACACAGAAGAGCCGCATTAAAATGTGTAAAGAGCCGCATGTGGCTCGCGAGCCGCGGCTTGCCGACCACTGACCTAGGCGATCGGAAACGGAAGTAGGAGCGGGTAGCTGTCAAATTCGGGTACCTGCTCCCCGCCCCCCAAAGGTGCCAATCCTTAATGGGGAGCGGGGGAGCAGTCCTTAAAGCGGAACTTCCCCTTTTGGGTGGAGCTTCGCTTTAATAATGGACTCTAGGCAGGAAGAACCTAAAGGCATAAGCAGTGTAAGAACCTGAATTTCATTGGGTATCAGCCTCTTCCAATCTGTGTACAGCAGAGTTCAAAGTGGTTCTAAAGCCTAAGGTTTTCTTTTACTTTAACGCATTATATGCATTAAAGTAAAAAAAATTCTATTGCAAGAGGATTCCCTCCCCTGCCCTATACTTACCTGAGCCCGAGCCCGATCTCAATGCAGCGCTATGCACTAGAGTGGCGGCTCTGTCCTTCCTCACTGGGCATATTCATAGCAGTGGTAGTCATTGGATCCCGCTCCTGTCAATCAAGTCCAATAATGAGTGAGTGGGGGGGACAGTCTGACACGAGGCTTGGGAGCGAGCCAGCATAAGTGCCCCCATAGAAAGTGGCATTCTATGGGGTTACTCATTGGGGTTGGAGGAGCCGCCATGAGTGCCAGCGGTGGAACTGGGAAGATGATTTTTATTGCACAGAGTAGGCAAGTATAACATGTTTATTATTTTAATTAAAAGAAAAAAATTAAGCTGTAATATCACTTCAAACTGGGGAAAGGGATGCAAAGCAAGGAAACAATCAGTTGTGCTGCAAAGCAAGGGGCATACTGTTGGGAGGAGAGGGCAGAGTGACAGAGATCACCAGTCTGCTGCTTCTCTTTTCCTGTCTGGTCACGGTGGGGGTGAGGAAGAGACCCATCAATGTAAGGACTTGTGTAAATGGCATCAATTTTAGAGGCTTCTAAGAGCCCTCATAGTCCAGTGACATTTAACCTGCAGTTTGCCTCCTTCTGGCCTGCATTTGTCCTGCTTCAAGGAGGTTTTGCAGTCACATAGTTTTGTACAGGAATGCAAAATCTGCTTGAAGCGAACAAAAGTCCGTCAAGACAGACCCTTACTGAACTGCAGCAGAGAAAAATTCAGTCTCCTGCCCAGCAAGACCGGGCTATGGTGGTTGGCTGCCCATCCCAACACCGGCATGCAAAGCACAGATTAACTTTAAAATACATTGATAGGACGATTGTAGAAACGTATTATAGATTCCCCTTAAATACAGTGGTACCTCGGTTTACGGACACCTCGGTTAGCGTAATTTTCGGTTTACGAATGAAAATCCATTGAAAATAATGTCTCGGTTTATGAATTTTTTACTAATTTTTATCGCAATACGAAGTGTATGTCGGTGCTGATTTTTAAATGCAATTGCCGGCTTTTTTTTTTCTTCAATACTGCTCACAGGATTAGCTGTCACTTTCCCCGGAGTTAAAGGAAACTTTGTTTCTTGTAAGAAACTAAAAGGAAACATTATTTCTTTTAACTTGGGAAAACTAAAAGAATTCTCTCTTTTAGCTGGGGGGAAAGTGACAGCTGCATTTCTGAGCTATAGTGAAAATAAAGCATTAATTTACATGTTTTTTTGTGAATGAGTATCGGGATCATGTACCCCATACTCATTCAAATGGGGGGGGGGGGTGCGATCTGGGGGCGCCCTTGGTCCTGCGGACCCCCACAACCACCGGCCAGGGTTGTGGGGAAGAGGCCCTTGTCCCCATCAGCATGTGGACAAGGTGCTTTGGGGCAGGGGGGGGGGGAGAGCCCTCCTGCCCCAAAGCACCCCCCCCATTTTGAGGGCATGTGGCCTGCTTTGGTTCATGGGGGGTGGGGGGCTCGCTCGTCTCCCCCCCCCCCCTCCTGGCCTGCCGGACTGCATGCTCAGATAAGGGTCTGGTATGGATTTTGAGGGGGACCCCCCCACGCCATTTTTTTTACATTTTGGCGTGGGAGTTCCCCTCAAAATCCATACCAGACCCGAAAGGCTTGGTATGGATGGGAGGGGGGACCCCACACCGGTTTTTTTTTTTTTTTTTTTAATTTCTGGCAATTCTTTTACATTCAGCTGTCAGTGGGGAACCCTGCTGACAGCTGAAACAGTAACACATGGTTGTCACTACTAAAATATGGCATGACTTGATAAAATAACTCATGTGGTATTTTAGTAGCGTTTATTTTTTTTCTGACTTCCGGAGCAGATTAATTGGTTTTCAATGCATTCTTATGGGAAATGGCGTTTCAGTTCACCAATTTTTCGCTATACGAAGAGTCCTGCAGAACAAATTAAACTCGTGAACCGAGGTATTACTGTATAACCCTTTGTGACACATCACATCCTGGCTTTTGGTAGTTGACATTCTGAAATAAAAAAAAAAAAAAAAATCTGATTTTTTTCTTAACTCTTGTGGACAGCTGCAAATGCTTTCATTTTCACAGACAAGCTATCCAGTGAGAGGATAAAGCAGGTGATGGAGCACATATGGAAGCTGCAGGAGTTCTGTAACAGCATGGCCAAACTGGACATCGATGGCTACGAATACGCTTACCTGAAGGCCGTGGTCCTCTTCAGTCCAGGTTAGAGATTTTCCTCCATTCCGTTGACATTCCAGCCTCCTGGGTTCCCTTTTTGCTGAGTTAATCATTTAGACCAGAATACAAACACCTATAGAACAATGAAGAGAACTTTCTAAATCTGTTTTCTTTAACCATTAGCCGCCCGGCCAATGGCCGTTTGGCGGCTTCAGATGTGTATCTGCATTCCGGGTGCACGCCATTTGGCGTGCTCCCGCACATGCGCCGTTTGCGCTAGTGCAGAGCGGCGCAGCAGTGCGATCTGTCATCGGCCGTGCACCTCGGACACGGCCGATGACAGATCCGAGTACCGGCACAGCTAAGCACAAAAGAAAAAAAAAAAAAAAAAGCTGAATGAATCGATGTCATTCAGGTAAATGCTTGCTTATAGCAAAGTAATTCTTTGCTATAAGCAAATTGTGTAAAAAAAAAAAAAAAAAAAATACTGATCACTTCCCCAAAGTAGTACAATGTTACTATGGTAACATTGTACTATTTTGGTCATAGTAAAATATGAAAAAAAATCTTAAAAAAAAAAAAAAAAATGTAATAAAAAATTAAATATAATAAATAAAAAAAAAAAAAAAAAATTAAAAAATAAATATATATATTTTTTTCATACTGTCACCAGTCCGTGTCTCTGATCACCGCCATGCCAGTTATATGATGACGCTGTACTGCACTGGTGACAGTATGTAAAAAAAAAAAATATTGAAAATAATTTTTTTCATTTTTTCATTTTCCGAAAAATTATGAGAAAAAAATACAACTTCAAAAAACTCGCCATGCCTCTTATGAAGTACGTCGGACTGTCTACTCTGCAAAAAGGGGTCATTTGGGGATATCTGTACTATTCTGACATTCTTGGACCTCAAGAAATTAGATTGGCCGTCAGTACTTCAGGATTGATCAATTTTCAGATCTATACCATAGTTTGTGAACTCTATAACTTTCCTACAAACTAAAAAATACATCCTAATTTGGGTTATTTTCACCACAGACATGTAGCAGAATACATCTCGGCCTAAATTTATGAAGAACAATTATTTATTTGTAAACTTTTATAACAGAAACAAAGAAAATGTGTTTTTTTTTTTTTCAAAATTTTTGGTCTTTTTTTGTTAATTTAGCAAAAAATAAAAACCCCAGCGGTGATTAAATACCACCAAAAGAAAGCTCTAGTTGTGTGAAGAAAATGATAAAATTTTAGTTTGGGTACAGTGTTGTACGACCGCGCAATTGTCATTCAAAGTGTGAGAGCGCTGAAACCTGAAAAATGGCCTGGGCAGGAAGGTGTAAAATTGCCCGGTATTGAAATGGTTAAAGTAGATGTAATTCCAAACTGAAAGCAAAATGATTTTTTTCTAAATAAAATACAGTTTTCACTTTTTATTTTTTTTTGTAATCCATTTTTGCATCTCAGTGCTGCCAACCTCCTGCAACCTTTTAGAATCCACTTCTTTTCTATATGGCCTCCAGCAGCGGCAGTATAGTGTTTCTCAGGGCGGGTTTTCTGATGGTGACAACCATGGCTGCGTAATGATAAAACTGTTAGTGTCCTTCGGAAGCCCATGTGACAAAATGACTACGCTGGAATACATCTGGGAGAACAAGGCAGGGACTAGGACCTCCAAGGCGGGATCACTAGCGGTTATCTTAATGAGAGCTGCAAATTGTGATTGAAAATGGTTTTTGAAATTACATTAACCCCTTGGCGCCAGCGCCTCCTGGCCCTTTAAGGGTTTCAGAAGCCGGGAGGCGGGGGGGTTTCGGGTTATGGCGGTCACATGATCGGGAAAGGTCCCGATCGAAAGAGGAGATCGGGACCTTTCCGTGAGTAACGGACATGTGTGCTGGGAGCGAGCAGGGCGCGCACTCTCAGCACATATGTTCTTTTTAATAAAACACAAATGTGTGGCCGCTCGGCGTCTAGGCCCAGATGCCGGGAGGCCGCACATTTGCGTTCGGCCGGCAGGAAGAGGTTAACATGTTAAAGCCTAACTCAGGGATGCTTGAAAATGATCCCTTGCAGTTGAGCTGCAAGGGTTCATTGCTAGTGGTGCACCAAAATGAAAATTCTGGTGCCGAAATCAAAAACAAAAATTAAAAATGCACTTGTCCGAAAACCGAAATGCGCAGTTTTTAAAAAAATGAATATATCGTTTTTGGAAAAAAATACACGTTGATTGAAAAAAACAATATATACCCCAATTGTTTTGTAAAATATGAAAGAGGATGTTACGGCGAGTCAATAGATACCCAACATGTCAGGCTTTAAAATTGAGCACGCTCGTGGAATGGCGTGAAACTGCGATACTTAAAAATCTCCATGGGTGACACTTTAAACATTTCTACAGGTTAGCAGTGTAAAGTTACAGAGGAGGTCTAGTGGGAGAATTATTGCTCTTGCTCTGACGTTCGTGGCGATATCTAACGTGTGTGGTTTGAACACCATTTACATATGTGGGCATGGCCTACCTATGCGTTCACCACTACGTACGAGCATGGGGGGGCGGGGGCACGTTAAACGTTTTTAAAAAAAAATTATTTTTTGCAGTTCCTTTAAAAAAAAAAAAAATGTTAGTCACTTTTATTCTTATCACAAGAAATGCATGCATCCCTTGTGAGAGAAATAATTAGTGACAGGTCCTCTTTATGGAGAGATGTGGGGTCAACAGGCTGTGGGAAATCTCCCCGCAGCAACTCTAGGCATGCAAATGGATGCAGCTCGGTATTCATTAAATGTATTTTTTATGCAAGCAGTGTAAATACCTGTGTTTTACCTGGTAGCAGCCTCCTGCAGTCCCTGCACAGCAGGACTAGAGTGTGAGAGGATGAAACAGCACCAAGAGCCAATCGGTTCATGTGCTAACAAGGAGCATGCTGACAAGCGGAAAGAGCAGAGAGTTGAGCTTATCAGTGTGCTGATTCTCTTTTCACTGTCCAGTCACATGCTAGAGGCAGTTCCAGGGCAACCTAGGCTCTGGAGAAGTAGGTTGAATGACGCTGGCCTTTAGACTGAGGATATTTACCAACAGAAGCAATGGGGTTGATTTACAAAGGGAAAATAGACTGTGCACTTTGCAAGGGCATTTGCATTCTGCAAGTGCACGTGCTCCAGATCTTAGTAATTGATTTTGCAAAGACTACTCAGTCACATGTGAGGAAAATTGAAAAAACAGCTTTTTTTTTTTTTGCATGATTGGATGGTGGAAATTTAGAAGAGCTTCCCATCATTTACTAAGCTCAAGAGCAAATGCGCTTACAAAATGCAACTGCACTTGCAAAGTGCACAGTCTATTTTCCTGTAGTAAATCAACCCCAAAGTACTTTAGGGGAAATCACTGCAATGAAGGTGAATATTGCAGCAAAAACTGGTGTTTATTTTATCCTTTCATAGACCTATTCCTTTTTATTGTATTTTTGGCTGGAGTTCTGTTTTATACTTTTATCACAAAGGAAATGTTTTTGACCGTGTTTACACTTTTAAAATGTCTTTGGCAAAAATGTCCAGCAAATTTAAACCGTTGTGGGATCTTTCTGTCCAGATCACCCAGGACTGTCCAGTACGGCACAGATTGAAAAGTTTCAGGAAAAGGCACAGATGGAGCTCCAGGACTACGTCCAGAAAACCTACCCTGAGGATACCTACAGGTAACGTTCAATGCACAGCAGTGTTCACTGAAAGATTGAATGCTGAGCTATGTTGCTTCACCGCCACGCAGTCTGTTTGTAGACACGGGGGACAGTCCCCACCTCTCACTCTACTAATGATTCCAGTGCTGCTTGCAGCCTGCCTACTGATGTGGTCCTACATCAGGAATTTGCGTGCCTTGGTGCTCCTGAAGACAGAGCCATCTTCAGGGATGGCTGCCTCCTCTGCTGGTTTCAAGGACTTTTTTGTTCCCTCATTGTTACATGCGTTTATGGCCCAAATTACACAGGCCCTAACGTGTAGATTTTGTATCTGCCTGCGGCCTGATTGCACCTTCCACTCCATACTATACAAACAAACCTTTTGAGGAGTCTCAGTTTTCTGTAATTGTTTCCAAACTGAAAGAGACTTTAGCTCTTATTGATGCAATGCACACCACTTTGCAGCTGGGAGGATCAGCCTGTTGCTTCAATCATGCCTGGGTGTGGGCCGTGGTCTCCAGGAGCTTCAAGCTACAGTTTCCATCTCAGCCTATCCTTGGTTGATCACATCCAACCTTCCTGTGTCAGCGCACAGATAGGCAGATCTTCAGGCAGTACTGGCTGGTCTTCTGGGTCAGTGTGTCTTTGACCCAAGTCCTGTGGCGGAATGGTTTCCGGGATTTTACTCCAACCTGCAGTTCCCAGATCTAAAGGGAGGGCATATAAAAGCTCTGGACCAGCAATGGGCAAACTACGGCCCGGCGGACCTTTTAATCCGGCCCGCGGAGCGTGATACTGTCAGGATGGCTGTCAGGATGTGTGTAGGCGGGGCAGCGTGACGAACGCGAGGGGAGCTAGGCTCCTCTCACAGTCCGCCCTGAAGACCGGTGTAGCATGAAAATCTGTCTCCTATGAGGATCTGTCCCCGTCGACGTATCTGCGCATGTGCCGGAGGTCGCCGATCGGCTGCTAATGCCTGAAACTGGCACATGCGCAGATACGTTGAGGGGGACAGATCCTCATAGGAGACAGATTTTCATGCTACACCGGAATGGCGCGGGAACACGGCGAGAGGAATGCGCGGAGCAAAGGTAAGTGAATTGACACAGGGGGGACTTGGGGACTTAATATGGGGGATGAATTAATATGGGGAATGAATTACTATAGGGGGGATGAATTACTATATGGGGGATGAATTACTATAGGGGGGATGAATTACTATATGGGGGATGAATTACTATATGGGGGATGAATTACTATATGGGGGATGAATTACTATATGGGGGATGAATTACTATGGGGGATGAATTACTATATGGGGGATGGGGGGATGAATTACTATGGGGGATGAATTACTATGGGGGATGAATTACTATGGGGGATGAATTACTATATGGGGGGATGAATTACTATGGGGGATGAATTACTATATGGGGGATGAATTACTATGGGGGATGAATTACTATATGGGGGATGAATTACTATATGGGGGATGAATTACTATATGGGGGATGATTACTATATGGGGGATGAATTACTATGCTTACTATGGGGGAATATTACTATACTTACTATGGATGACACATACACATCATTCATCTACTCTTGGTCCGGCCCCCGGGTCCAATATATGAACCCATTGCGGCCCTCAAGTCAAAAAGTTTGCCCACCCCTGCTCTGGACACTTTTATTTTTTTATCTAAAGTTCTGTACGGAATCCACCGGGTCTGTCATTGCCTTCCTCCACCAGCGGGTCTTTGTGGGCATCAAAGACACACACTTCTATGTCCCTATCTTTTCGGCGCACCAGTATCATTTATGCTTTCTTTTAGTTCTCTACACTTTCAGTTCTGGGCCCTGTCATTCGACTTCACCCAGGTTCTTGTCCCAGCGCTAGTTTTGTTGCAATGCCGTGGCATTACCCATTGTGGGATATCTTTAACCACTTGGCAACCACGCTATAGCCGAATGACAGCTACAGCGCGATTGTCCAGTCCTGGGAGGGCGTCATATGATGTCCTCCCAGAACACGCCCTGCCGCGTGCCCCCAGTGGCGAGCACCTGGTGATCTTCCTACGGACACAGCTGATCACATGATGTGGTAAAAGGCCATTCACAGCAGCCTTTTACCATGTGATCAGCTGTGTCCAATGACACACAGGAGATCACCGGGTAAATGCAGTTGCCTGTTATTGGCTGCACTTTCCTCACACTGTCACTGCGTGAGGAAAGTACTGCTGATAACCAGCAATTGTCAGAGGACAGATCGGCACTGATGATCAGTGCCCAGCAGTGCTACCCAGCATTGCCACCCACCTGTGCCCACCTGTGCCCATCAGTGCCTCCCACCTGTGCCCATCAGTGCCCAGCATTGCCACCCACCTGTGCCCAGCAGTGCCCAGCATTGCCACCCACCTGTGCCCAGCAGTGCCCAGCATTGCCTCCCACCTGTGCCCATCAGTGCCCAGCATTGCCACCCACCTGTGCCCAGCATTGCCTCCCACCTGTGCCCATCAGTGCCCAGCATTGCCACCCACCTGTGCCCAGCAGTGCCCAGCATTGCCACCCACCTCTGCCCATCAGTGCCCAGCATTGCCACCCACCTGTGCCCATCAGTGCCCAGCAGTGCCACCCACCTGTGCCCATCAGTGCCCAGCATTGCCACCCACCTGTGCCCATCAGTGCCCAGCATTGCCACCCACCTGTGCCCAGCAGTGCCTAGCAGTGCTGCCCACCTATGTCCAGCAGTGCCGCCAGTCAGTGCCCATCGGTGCCGCCTACCAGGGCCCATTAGTGCTACCTATCAATGCCACCTCATCAGTGCTGCTTATCAGTGCAGCCTCATCAATGCACATCAGTGAAGGAGAAAAATTACCTGTTTGCAAAATTTTATAATCGAAACAAAGAAAAACTTTTTTTTTTTTTTTTATAGCGCAAAAAATAAACCACCCAGCAGCAAGTACATAGCACCAAACGAAAGCTCTATTTGTGTGAAAAAAATGATAAAACTTTCATATGAGTACAGTGTTGCATGACTGCCCAATCTCCATTCAAAGTGCGACAGCGCTGAAAGCTGAAAATTGGCCTGGGCACGAAGGGGGTCTAAATGCCTGGTAGGCAAGGGGTTAAAATCTTTTACTAAGGGAACAATCAGCACAAGTCCTGGTGGACCATGCAACCTTGGTGGTCCGGACCTTGCAGAAGTTTGGTTGGATACTAAACTTTCATAAGTCAGCGTTGGAACCAACTCATTGCTTGGAGTATCCGGGCTTTGTTCTAGGCACAGGTTAAAGACACAGGTTTTCTTCCACAGGAGACCCTACAAACTCTCCAGCCCCAGACGTGTACTCTTCAGTCCAAGAATCCTTGAGGCCCAGGTTGTCCCTGGCTCGGAGACTCTGGAATCAGAGAAATCCTTTCTTCACGCCTTTTTGGAGGGTCCTCTTGAGTGATGCCAGCCTCTTGGGTTGGGGAGGAGTTCTGGGCACTTGGTGCAAGGGGCTAGATTATCGGAGGAGTTTTGTCTCCTGATCAGCATCATGAAGCTTCAGGCAATTTTGATGTCTCTGCCACATTGGACTGTCCTGCTGGGAGGGTTTCAGTTGGACAACACCACGACATTGGCGTACATCCACTGTTGGAGGGAAACCAGAAGTCCTATCCCAGCAAGAGAGGTAGATCAGATCTTCTCCTGAGCAGAATTTCATGTTGCAGCCATGTCCACTGTGTACATCCCAGGATTAGACGGCTGGCTGGCCTCCCAAAGTCCAGCAAGATCTATGGATGTGGAAGGTGAACGCCACTTGGTGCGAGTCTCGGAGCTTCCACGTGAAAAGTGTTCTGTGTGGAACAAATCCTTTCCCCCCTGCCACTGGATCAGGACCAGCATTTGGCTCTCATCAAGAGCCAGGTTCTGCCCTTTTTTTGTTTTGTTTCAGACTCCATTGGCCTCTCACACCTTAAAGTGGTTTTAAAACCTTACATATACCCAGTGAAGTGACTGGCCTCAGGTGACACACAGAGATTTAAACCAACCTTCCTACCTAAGTTGTACTTGTTTATCTGCTGATTTCTCTTCTCTACATCCATTCAAAGTGCTGAATTTATAAAGCTTGTCTGAGAGTCCAGAAAAAAGGTGTCAGAAAGCTGAAATTACACTCTACAGAGCTCAGTGAGGAGAGCTCTGTATGCTGATTGGAGGGACAAGACCCCCCCCCCCCCCCTTCAAACAGCACGCAGTAACAGAGCCGAGGCTGTCAATCTGCTGGAGGTCACTCCCCTGTCACCATTTTTCTCTTGGTGTCAGGAAAACTTGTTGGAAGTGACTCATGTTGATAGCAGAGGACGGAGGCAGCAGACAGAAATGACAATTAGTGCTATGTATAATGTGCCCATTTAACCCATTAGAGACTTTCCGCTCTCAGTTGAGACATGCTAGTAGTAAGAGGTGTTATCTGGGATGGTCATTTTTTTTTTTTTTTTTGCTTGCCAGTGTCCAATCCTCACATAGGCAGAAAGATAACCTGAAGGATTTGGACTTTCTGGGAGTAATGTGCTAATGAGTGGAAAATCTAGTGCAACTCTGCATAGAAACCAGTCGGCTTCCATTTTTTTTTTTTTTTTTTTTTTTTTCAAAGCTTCATTGAACAAGCTGAGGTTAGAAGCTGATTGGCTACCATGCACAGCTGCACCAGATTCTGAGTGCTCCAATTTTAGTAAATCTCCCCCTCTGTGTCCCAGTGCTGCAAAATTAATTTCTCCAGGTGTACAATAAATTATGTTTTTAGAATGCCCAAATATTAATTAACCACTTCCCGTCCGGCCAATGTCTATAAATGGCCGGAGGGGAGCACTGGCGAAGCGGGTTGACGTTTCTAAACGTCACCCACATTCACTGCCTGTGTGCACTCCCTTTCGGTGGTATTTGATCGCCTGTGCGTTTTTTAATTTTTTGCGCTATAAGCGAAAAAAAAATCTGACAATTTTGAGAAAAAAAAAAAACTATATTTTGGACTTTTTGCTATTAAACATGTCCAGTAAAAAAAAAATCACATTTCCGCATACATTTAGGCCAAAATGTATTCTGCTCCATTTCTTTTCTAAAAAAAAAAAATTCCAATACGTGTAAATTAATTGGTTTACGAGATAGTTATAGCGTCTAGAAATGGCGGTATAGATACTGGGATTTTTTTTTTTTGCCCCCTACTAGTAATGGCGGCGATCAGCGATTTTTAGCGGGACTGCGGCGGGCATTCTAATACTGGGGGTAACTAACTTGGTGTCACCGACATCCCCAGCGACACCAATACAGTGATCAGTACTAAAAAACAGCACTGACACTGTACTAATGGCACTGGGCAGGAAGGGTTTAATGTGAGGGGCGATCAAAGGGTTAACTGTGTGCTGGGTGTGTTTTCCTGTGGGGTCGTGTCAGTGTGCTTCACTGTAAGCACACTTCTTTGGATGGCTGTGCTGTGCACAGCCATCCAAAGCAGTGTGCATGAGCTGACAGGGAGGAGAACTGTTTGAACAAAACAGTTCTCCCTGTCGGAGATCCACGGAAAACACTGGATGCCGGCGACACTGTACTAATGACATTGGGCAAAAAGGGGTTAATGTAAGGGGCGATCAAAGGGTTAACTGTGTGCTGGGTGTGTTTTCCTGTGGGGTGCTGTCAGTGTGCTTCACTGTAAGCACACTTCTATGGATGGCTGTGCTGTGCACAGCCATCCAAAGCAGTGTGCTCGAGCTGACAGGGAGGAGAACTGTTTGAAGAAATCAGTTCTCCTCCCTGTTGGAGATCCACGGAAAACACCGGGCGCCGGCGACACTGTACTACTGACACTGGGCAGGAAGGGGTTAATGCGAGGGGCGATCAAAGGGTTAACTGTGCGCTGGGTGTGTTTTACTGTGGGGTGCTGTCAGTGTGCTTCACTGTAAGCACACTTCTATGGATGGCTGTGCTGTGCACAGCCATCCAAAGCAGTGTGCTCGAGCTGACAGGGAGGAGAACCGTTTAAAGAAATCAGTTCTCCTCCCTGTCGGAGATCCACGGAAAAACACCGGGCGCTGGCAACACTGTACTCATGACACTGGGCAGGAAGGGTTAATGTGAGGGGCGATCAAAGGGTTAACTGTGTGTAGGGAGTGTTTTACTAGGGGGCAGTTGTGTGTGCTTTACTGTAAGCACGCTGATCGGGATGGCTATGCTGTGCAGTGTGCCCGAGCTGACAGGGAGGAAGACTGTTTGTTTGTAAACAAAACAGTCTTCCTCCCCGTTGTGATTGTCAATAATCACCGGGCGCTGGCGGGTAATCACCGGCCGGGACCCGCTAATTGACATCCACGGCTCACGCTCGCTCCCTACCCAGAAATGCAAAATCACGTGTGTGTATATATATATATATATATATATGTACATGATTTTGCGCACCTGCGCCGCCGCGTAGCAGTATATCTGGTATACTGCGGCAGGTAAGCAGTTAAAATAAATAAATATTTCCTAAAAACCGGCTAGGCGCCTCTACAGATCTGTTCTAATTGGTTGCCTTACTATCATGGCTTCTTCCACCCCTAAAGCCCATTGTGTATTCTCTCACAGGCTGGCGCGAATCTTGGTGCGGCTCCCGGCTCTGAGACTTATGAACTCTAGCATCACCGAGGAACTCTTTTTTACTGGCCTGATCGGCAACGTCCCCATCGACAGTATAATCCCATACATCCTGAAGATGGAGACGGCAGAGTACAATGGGCAGATCACGGGGACCAGCGTATAGCGGACTAGCACTTGTGTACAGATCAAGCACTTTGCAACGCACCCTTCCGGAGAGCAAGATAACATAGTAACCTTCGGGGGGGGGGGGGGGGGGGGACGGGACGGGACGTATCCCAACACCTCAGTAATATTTGCCCCGTAGGGGCTTCGGCCGAACATTTCAGTAACCGATTTCATTTCCTAAGCAGAACCACAGCTTCTACAGCCATAATCAGACTATCAGGTAGGAACTCGTACGTGTTACACCTTTCACATTCTATGAAATGGCATTGCAGCAATTTATTTAACACAGTACCATAAGTGTGTAGTTTAGGGCGGGGGTGTCAAACTCCATTTCACCGCAGGCCGGGGAGCGGGGGACTACATGTCCACCCTCATTACATCAGATATCATGAATCCCACACCCTCCCTAACATCACCGTGCACCAGAGATGGAAAGCAGAAAGTGCAGGGTCTGGAGGAGGACCAGAGAACCCCCACCACCCCATTACATCAGATTTCAAGAATCCCAAACCCTCCCTAACATCACCGTGCACCCCGTTTTGGAGGCAGAGCTGGAAAGCAGAAAGTGCAGGGTCTGGAGGAGGACCAGAGCACCCCCACACCACCCCATTACATCAGATGTCAAGAATCCCACACCCTCCCTAACATCACCGCGCACCCCCTTTGGGGGCAGAGCTGGAAAGCAGAAAGTGCAGGGTCTGGAGGAGGACCAGAGCACCCCCACCACCCCATTACATCAGATGTCAAGAATCCCACACCCTCCCTAACATCACCGCGCACCCCCTTTGGGGGCAGAGCTGGAAAGCAGAAAGTGCAGGGTCTGGAGGAGGACCAGAGAACCCCCAACACCCCATTACATCAGATGTCAAGAATCCCACACCCTCCCTAACATCACCGTGCACCCCCTTTGGGGGCAGAGCTGGAAAGCAGAAAGTGCAGGGTCTGGAGGAGGACCAGAGCACCCCCAACACCCCATTACATCAGATGTCAAGAATCCCACACCCTCCCTAACATCACCGTGCACCCCCTTTGGGGGCAGAGCTGGAAAGCAGAAAGTGCAGGGTCTGGAAGAGGACCAGAGGAGGAGCGGAGTCAGTTACCAGAGTCTGCTGAATGCTGAGAGCAGGGGAGGCAGAGATGAGGGGGTGCAGCAGCTGCACTGAGAGGTGCAGGATTTGGCAGAGGAGTTCTATTCTCCTCTCTGCTGCCGACTGCTAAGACAAGGTGGGGGCGGAGACAAGGGGGTACCTGCAGGAGAGATGCAAGGGCCACATGAAATGGCCTGGAGGGCCGGATTCAGCCCGCGGGGGCCTTGTGTTTGACTCATTGTGGTTTAGGGGAAACAAAGAAGTCATAACTGCCCAGCTGACAGCTAATATAATAGCAGATGGTAGATATCCAGCAGATGTGTCGGCACAGTTTCTGCAGTCAGGAGAGAGCTTTTCTTTTTAAAGGACCAGAAGACCTCAGGACGGGGCAAACGTTTGGCCACCCCAAAATCGAATTAAACTAAACAAGCAAGCGAGTCAATTCACATGATTTGTTGATTTTTAACAGTGAAAAAAGATTTGTAGAGGCTTCTTTTAGGGCCTTTCAGTATAGCTGGCTATAGCCAGGCAGATGTTCCCTGAGAATGACAGGTAGGTAATGTTTTTGTAATATAGGCAGACATCTACCTGTTCACTCTAGGGTTGGTGCTCTGTTGTGACGTTTCTGTTTGATAGAAGCGGGTGTGAACTTAAAGCGGAGCTCCACTCACTCTGTCAAAAAATAAAAGTCAGCAGCTACAAAAACTGTAGCTGCTGACTTTTAAAAAAAACAGCCACTTACCTGTCCCTCGGTCCCTTGGTGTGTCCTCCGCAGCCCGTTTCACCGGTCGTCCTGTATTCCTGGAGGCCGGCATCTTCAGTGTGGGCACCCGGCTGTGACAGCTTGCGTCTTCAGAGCCGGGTACCCACTGCGCATGCGCGAGAAGCGTTGCGCTTCATGAATGGTCCTGTAGTCTGGGACCCGTCACGTGTCCCAAAAGACTACAGGGAGGGAAGGAGGACACCTTCCGATCACCTAGGAGATCGGACCGGAAATGGGAGCGGGTACCTGTCAAATTCGAGTACCCCCGCCCCCCACCCCCTAAGGTGCCAATCCTTAATGGGTAGTGGGGGAGCAGACCTTAAAGCAGAACTTCCCCTTTTGGGTGGAGCTCCGCTTTAAGTCCTAACTGGATGATATTCAGGGGGTTACTTACTAAAACTGGCAAGCATAAAATCTGGCGCAGTTCTGCATTGAAACCAATCGGCTTCCAGCTTTTATTGCCAAAGCTTAACACTGGCCATACATTATACAATTTTCTTGAGAATTTTGATTTACCGAAAACCATATAATATGAGGTCAAACCGGAACACTTTTAACTGAATCCAATTAGGCCGGCCCTTGCACTACACAGTTGAAGGTAAATCTAAAGGAAATTGGACAGAAAATGGTATAATGTATGGGCAGCCTACCTGAACAAGCTGAAGTTAGAAGCTGATTGGCTACCATGTGCAGCTGTACCAGATTCTGAGTGCTCCAGTTTTTAATAAATCTGTCCCTTAGGCCGGCCATACACGGGTCGAAATTCGACCAATTTTTTTAGTTTGAAAATCGGACCTAAGAATAATCGGCCAATTTTCGCTCTGTTAGTAGGTCAATGGCAACGGCCGATTTTCGTGGTTCCTCCCCTTTTTGGTGATCGGGCATGTTGGTAAAATTCATGAAAAAGACCAATTTTTCGTCTCGATGATGGTCAAATCGTACGATCGTTTATGCGCATAAGCCATGACCTGGAAGGAACTGAAGTTTCGCCAGTTATATGGGGTGAACTTTATGACTCGGTCGGCCGTTATTTGAAATCATCGACGGCACCATCGGATTACCGAGCGAACAACGTTTTCAAAATCAAAAAATCGTTCGGAATTCCAACCATGTATGGTCTGCATTAGTTTGCTAAAGCACCATGTGGCATAAACAGTTAAAGTGGACCCTCCCCCTTCGCTAAGTCCTCTTGCACACGGCACGTTTTTACAGCGGCTGTTTTTGGTTTTTGACGTTTTTTGTTTTCTACAGCCTTCCCCCAAAAGGCCTCATGCAGGGGCCATTTATCTGCATACACCAGATTCCATCAAGAAAAGGACGATTTTTGTGGCTGGAAGGACAGGTATGCGAATAGCCGCGGCCGCTGTACAAAGCATATACAGGCTGACAGCAGCTGTCGCTGTTCAGCTGCGCACCATGTGGTCACCTGCGGTTAAAGTGATACTAAAGCTAAAAACGTTTTTTACCTTAAAGTGATTTGAAACGTTCGTTTCTTCGTTTTTTTTTTTTCCGTATTAAAATAACAAACATGTCGTACTTACGTGCTCTGTGCAATGATGTTGCACAGAGCAGCCCAGATCCTCCTCTTCTGGGGGCACTTTTAGGCCCCTCCTCTTTGGTGGGTGTCCCCCACGGTAAGCCGCTTTCCATGGGGGCACCCATGCGGGCTCATTCATGAGACACCCTGTCTGTGTCTATTGACACAGAACAGGTGGCTCGGCCCCTCCCCCTGCTCCCGTGACACATTTGATTGACAGCAGTGGGAGCCAATGGCTCCTGATGCTATCAGTCTCTCCAGTGAAGAGGGAGACAGTGGCTAGAGCCACTACTCTTGTGCACGTCACTGGACCAGATCGGGCTCAGGTAAGAAAAAGGGGGGGGGCAGTGGTATTATTTAGGTTTCGTGCTGCCCTAGGCAACACAAAAATTGGCTCCATTCCCCCCCCCCCATAGGGATGGGGAGACCCTGACACCGGCCAACGCCTCCCTCCCATACAAAGAGAGCCTGACATTGACCAAAAACACCCCACCCAAGATAGCCTTTGAGCCTTCCCACGTGTTGCAAAAGACTACAGGGGGGAGGACACCTTCCGCTTCCGGTTGCCTAAGCGATCGGACCGGAAGTGGGAGCAGGTACCTGTCAAATTCAGGTAACCGCCCCCCAAAGGTGCCAATCCTTCATGGGGAGCGGGGAAGCAGTCCTTAAAGCGGAACTTCCCCTTTTGGGTGGAGCTCCGCCTTAATGTCTACATGCACCCCCTCCGACCTTCTATTTCCCTGTCACAGTTCAGTAACACTTGCAGGGTTTGTAACCTCCCCCAGCCTGTGATTGGACCGGATCTGCAAGAGCTGATCTCTCTGTCACTCTGCTCTCTCCTTCTATCAATATGCCCCTTGCACCGCAGCACAACCGACTGGCTCCTTGTGCTGCATCTTCCTCCCAAAGCTCTGCTGTACAGGGACCGCAAGACAGGGACTGTTATCAGGTCAAATTCATTATTGCATTTAAAAAATACATTTAATGATGTATTTTATTTTTTTTTTTTTTACACAAAGCTGCATTTTTTGTCTTTTTTTTATATCTGGAGCTCAGGTTTAAGTTTTTTTTTTTTTTTTTTTTTTTTCTGCAAATTTTCACGTTAAAAATAAAATCAACAAAACATGTCATTTGACCATGTGAGGAGGGGAGGGGATTTCTTTTTTTTTTTTTTTTTTTTTTTTTTAGAGCAAGGTAGAATTCAAGGTTCCATATTGATTCCATGCCATAGCTGCCCCTATAGTATTGAGCTGATAGGATTTGTTTTTTTTTTTCCATTGAATCCTTTGTTTTCTTTTCCACAGTTAGCCATCCTCCCTTCATGTGGGCTTCATGTATCTCTTAGTAGTTTTTGTATTTGGCTGTCTGCCAGCATATATTCTGCAGGCCATACATGGTTCGAATTCCGAACGATTTTTCGTCCAAAAAATTGGAAACATCGTTCGCTCGGTAATCCGATGGTCCATCATTGATTTTGAAAATCGGATGACTGAGTCATAAAGTTCACCCCATATAACAGGCGAAATATTCTTTTCGGAAACGATCGTATGATTTGACCATCGTTGAGTCGTTTTTCACGAATATTCCAACATGCCCGATCATCGAAAAGGGGAGGAACCACGTCAATCGTCCGGTGACATTGACCCACTAACAGAGTGAAAATCAGCCGATTATTCTTAGGTCCGATTTTCAGACCAAAAATCGGTCGGTTTTCTGCCCGTGTATGGCCGGCTTTAGTCAATTGAAGTGCAATAGGATAATCCATATACACAATCATGAAACCGGTTTAAAGTGCACAATCACCTACCCAAAGTTTACTCCCTGCAAGTGTGTTTTTTTACGCTCTGCTTGCACGTTTTTTCTCTTTTTTTTTTTTTTTTCAGTCACATGATCGGAAACCCACTTCCTGTCGTTCAGAACTTTCTAAAGCAGGGGGTCTTCAAACATTCTAAGGCTAGGTTCACACCTATGCAGGTTGCTCTTGAGCCATTTCTGCATTGTGTGTCGAGTTGCGTTTTGCGTTTTTGTCGTGTTTTTGATGCATTTTGCAGTTTTTTTTTTTTTTTTGCTTATTGCTAGGCAGATTTAAAAAGCAAATCGCAGCAAAAACTGCGGCGTTTCCATTGAAGTCTATAGAACCAAAAACGCAACTTTTAGCATTGACCCCTACCCTTTCCAAAAAACGCACCGTGGTGAAAACGCTGAGATGTGAAAATGTCCCATGGGATATCATGTTACATGGACTGTATTGCGTTTGTGCAAAACGCTGCAGAAAACACTTAAGTGTGAACCTGGGGTAAACAGAGGGCAGTTTACTGTCCTTCAGATTTTAGGGGGGCAGGCTGTGGTCAGAGGGTGTAGAGAATGTCTTGGGCTTGGTGGTCAGTAGGAGTAAAAAAAAAAAAAAAAATTACATAGTACCTTTGCTTAGTAGGAGGAAGGATAGTACCCCATCATTGGTATCAGTGAGAGAATAGAGTCCCATCATTGGTATCAGTGGGAGGAATAGTGCCCCATCATTGGTGTCAGTGAGAGGAATAGAGTCCATCATTGGTATCAGTGGGAGGAATAGTACCCCATCATTGGTGTCAGTGAGAGGAATAGAGTCCCATCATTGGTATCAGTGAGAGGAATAGTGCCCCATCATTGGTGTCAGTGGGAGGAATAGAGCCCCATCATTGGTGTCAGTGGGAGGAATAGTGCCCCATCATTGGTGTCAGTGGGAGGGAATAGTGCCCATCATTGGTGTCAGTGGGAGGAATAGTGCCCATCATTGGTGTCAGTGGGAGGAATACTGTCCCATCATTGGTGTCAGTGGGAGGAATAGTGCCCCATCATTGGTGTCAGTGGGAGGAATAGTGCCCCATCATTGGTGTCAGTGGGAGGAATAGAGCCCCATCATTGGTGTCAGTGGGAGGAATACTGCCCCATCATTGGGGTCAGTGGGAGGAATAGTGCCCCATCAGTGGGAGGAATAGAGCCCCATCATTTGTATCAGTGGGAGGAATAGAGCCCCATCATTTGTATCAGTGGGAGGAATGGTGCCCCATCATTGGTGTCAGTGGGAGGAACGGTGCCCCATCATTGGTGTCAGTGGGAGGAACGGTGCCCCATCATTGGTGTCAGTGGGAGGAACGGTGCCCCATCATTGGTGTCAGTGGGAGGAACAGTGCCCAATCATTGGTGTCAGTGGGAGGAACAGTGCCCCATCATTGGTATCAGTGCAAGGAACAGTGCCCCATCATTGGTGTCAGTGCGAGGAATAGTGCCCCATCATTGGTGTCAGTGAGAAGAATAGTGCCTCATATCAGTTGGATCAACAGTGCCACAAGGACCAGATAAAAGCAAGCAAACGGTCACATCTGACCCAAAGGCCACAGTTTGGAGAGCACTGTCCTAAAGGGCCATGGTGGTGGCAACAAGGGGTTAATGTACACCCTTATCTTCCCATCATGTCCTGCTCTGGTTTTTTACATCCTTGTGCAGAAACATTTGGCACACTGATTGCCCCTTGCCTTTTGGAATACAGCCCCATTCACTTAAATACGGAGTTACTGCACAGGCTTGGCTAGTTCCAGAGGTTTCTTCACTTAGGATGGAAGATTCTGCTGCATTCAGAGAGGTTAGTAAACGCCTGGATACGGGATTCTACTTTAGGTTACGGGGTTAGGAAGGAAGGCTGGGGGAGTGTTTGGCCATACTAATCTTG